TATACTGAATAGCAGATCAGACCTCAAGACCTTCTTGAGGGTCTCTGGGTGAGGTTCTGGTAAGGATCCAAGCTTGGTGACTTCGATGCCCACATGGGCAAAGATGGAGACAGATAAGGAGGAGTGATTGGGGGAAAGGCCTGCCCAATCTTAATCCTGGGTAGTGCTTTGTTATTGGACTTCTGTGCTGGCCGTTGATTGTTCATAGTCCTTCTGGTACCATGCTTTCCTGGGTCAAAGATTGTCGATTGAATGATAATTATATTTTCTGATCTGCTGCTGTCTGTCTTGGATTTTTGGATGAGGAGCAAAGCAAAGCTATCAACGGACCATTGCCTGAGGATGAGTTGGATCTGGACATCGAATCCAAAGAGACCATGTTCAAAGCCTCCACTGTGGCAGCATCTACTAAAGGTTGTTACTGAAGTAGTCAAAAAGCTCCTTAGAGACAATGCCAGAAGTGGGTGTGATTTTTCGTGGACATGTTCTCAGTGCATGTTGCCCCCTGCCAGGATTGCCCCTTGTCATCAATAGTTTTTTTTTTATGATTTTCATCAGCAGGATCTCAAGGGCAAGCTTGGGGTTTAGGGTCTCCTGTTTGGGGGCCTCACAAATTCCATCCTACTTTTTCCAGATGATATTGTCTCTGTTCTTGCAAATAATTGTGTCATCAGGCTGGGTCCTCAAGCAAGTATTTGGGTGGTTTGCTGCTGAGTGTGAAGCAGCTGGGATGAGAGCCAGCACCTGTAAATCAGAAGCCATGGTTCTAAGCTGGATTTCTCTCATTGGGTCAGAAGTGAGTCTTTGCCCCAAGTGAAGGAGGAATCTTAGGGTCTTGTTCACAAGTGAGGGTAAAGAGGAGTGTGAGATTGACTGACAAACTGGTGCCGGTCAGCTTGACAGTCATGACGAAGAAGGAGCCAGAAGGCAATGGTTTCAGTTTACCAGTGTACCTGTGCTCCAGCTCTCATCTATGGTCCTGGGCTTTGGGTGAGGTCATGGATTCAAGCGGATGGGTTTTCTCTGAAGTGTGACTGGGATCAACCTTAAACATAGGCTCAGAGACTTGGACATCCAGGAGGAGCTTGGAGTGGTGCTGTTGCTCCTTGGCATCAAAAAGAGTCAGTTGATGTGATTCAGGCATTTGACATGGATGCCTCATGGATTTAGTGGTGTTCGAGGCACATTTAACTGGGTAGACCCAGAGCTTGATGAAGGTATTCAATAACCCACCTGGCACGGTTATGATCTAGCAAAAAGGAGGAAATTTTACAGCAGCTCTGAGGTTTTTTTATTTTAAAGGAATTGAGAAACCAGGATAAGAATACAGAATGAAACAATAAAAATTAATAGATGTAAATGTCTTCAGATAGAATCTAAGGTGTTTACAATCCAACTGGACAGACAATAAGTGTACATTGATTAGCACTGTTCTAACATTGTGTTTTTCCTGTGTGGATGAAAGATGATCAATCTGATCAGATAAAAACAGACAAACAGGTGAGGTCGGCCCAAACATATGCGGACAAGATGTCCGACATTTTGTTCAAAAGACTGTGCTTCCTGCCTTCTTTGCAAAATTGCTTTCAATAAAAAATACGCAAGCATGCATGTGTGTGTATGTGTGTCCTTGGCCTCTGTTGGCTCATATGGTCAGGGTATGCTTATTCCTGGGTTTTTCCTGCCTCTCCATTTGAAGTCTTCTTCCTGGAGCCAGCAGTCTACTTGCATCTGACTACGTGTATGTCTATGTGCGTGTGCAAGCGCCTATGCAAGGAAGAAGGGCCAAAGAAGTGACCGACCCCAAATGATGGAGTCTTGGCCCCAGCCAAGACAGGGACAGTTTTCCTGGAGTCTGGTTTGAATGCAGACACACACACACACACACACTGGCAAAACACACACATGCACACTTTTTGTCCTCAATAACAGTCAGCTTCTGTCCACCACTATCATCTCTATCTAGTCCCTCACTGAGCACCTCCTCATTCACACACAGATTTGCACAGAATGATGATTATAAACACACACACACACACACACACACACACACACACACACACACACACACACACACACACACACACACACACACACACACACACACACACACACACACTGGCTCTGGCCTCTGTCACTGTCAGTGATACAGCCTGGCATGCAAAAACACACAAATCAAAACACACTCTGTACTGTACAATAACAGAAACGAGGATGAACTCAGTTAAATTGTCTGTATTTTCATAAACTCTTCACCTTGAGTATGCATTCAACCATGACAGACTGCACTGCAGGGTTAAAATCATGTACAGACATTATGAAAGGAGAAAATGCTCAAATTTAATTGTGCTTAATGTTGTTCAAAACTCTAGTATAACATTAAAAACACAAAACTCACTATGTTGTACCTGTTGCTGTATTAATATTTATCCATATACCCTCCCCAGAGCCATAAAGCATGACTCACCCCAGGCTGCTATCTCTGCCCTCACAGGCAAACAGGGATCCACGCCTCAATATTATTAACCACCAATTGGTGGTTGTGTTGCAGGCCGGCAGTTACACATTGATTGCAGTTCCCATTTCAGCGGAGGAAATGTGGCACTTTATGACTTTAACATTAGAGTAAAGAGGGAGGACAAAGATCAATAGACCTATTTAATGTTATATGTCACTGTATAAGATAACTGTACAGAAAGACAAACAGACATCTAGATAGATAGATAGATAGATAGATAGATAGATAGATAGATCGATCGATCGATCGATAGATAGATGTTTCAAAAAATCTCTTCTTTTTTCTAATTTAAAATTTTAACCATGGAAAAGTAAACAAAGGCTGTTTTGTTTATCACTTGGGCTTACACCAACCTGTATACAGTGTTTTCAAACATTAAACTAACAAATAGAATGTTCAATCTCTATGTGAAAGGTCAGGTTTTCTTTTGTCTGTCAAACAGAGACATCAGTATAAATTTCGCTTAAATTATTAGCCAAAACTCCTTTACAATGAGCTTTAAAAAGCCATACATGAACTTTAGTGGCAGCAAAAGCAAGCTGTTCAGGTCCAATGATATGATTCAAGGAATTTGGCTGAGGACCATTCATGTTATAGATGTGATATAATAGATTATGTGTTTTTTGTTGTTGTTGTTGTTGTTGTTTTGACAAATGAGGTAAGTGCATGAAATTTGTTCAAAATTTATAAAGTCTGTGTTAAAAAAAAAAAAAAATTCTTGATGCCTACTGCACATCTTCCACTCTGATAATGGTCACTCAAATTATAACACAACGCACCATGGAGAATAATTCCAGAATATTATTTACCAAGCACTATGTAATATTTTCTGTTGAATAAAAGAAGAAAAATTGACTATAAAAAACATTTTTACCATTTGCATGCACAAAAGCCTTCACATAGAAATAAATCCCTAAGAAGTCAAAATAGATAAGTCTTCTATTTGGTGAGTGAATGCAGTAATCATATGTCTGAGACTTTCTTTAACTGATTGTCACAACCTGATGTAATGATAATAATAATAATAATAATAATAATAATAATAATAATAACAACAACAACAACAACAACAAAATTAATAGGAATAATAATAATAATAATAAAATTAATAGGAATAATAATGAAAATGATGATGACAGTAATAATAATAATAACAAAATTAATAGGAATAATAATAATAATAATAATAATAATAATAATAATAATAATAATAATAATAATAATAATAATAATAATAGGAATAATAATGAAAATGATGATGACAATAATAATAATAATAATAATGAGTCTTGCTCTCTCTCTCTCTCTCTCTCTCTATCTCTCACACACACACACACACACACACACACACACACACACACACACACACACACACACACACACACACACACACGCTGAGCAGCAGTTTTGTGGGAAGTGGCAGCACAATGAAAAGGCCTCGTGTGTTTACTTTTACTGGTGTGTTGATGACAGGTATAAATCTGTGCTCGCGCAGACAACAACAAGCGGAGACTTCCGACTGACGGCGCGTCCAACATCCTCACAATACATCATATTTGCATGTGTGACACTTTATAAGACATGAATAAGTGTAAGCTATGACCCCCAGTGACCCTGAGTGATAGATTATTGATAGAAGGCAATAACTTGTATCGGAGAGATCAAGATAGTGAGTTACGAGCCCTTTTGTTGTAGGCCTGATTACAGAGTTTAGTTCAAGTTGGACTACTATCAAATCGAATACTCAAGAGCTGGTCAGAAGCGTGCACGGTTAATCGATGAGTCATTAATAACAGCCAGTCACATGTCTAGTAAATCAGTACAATCAAACCTCGAAAACACCAACGTATCTAATAAAATTGTATTAAATTTGACTGTTATCGAGAAAAAATGTCGTCATTAAAATGAAGAATATCGATTATTCGAAACTCAATTTATTGACGATAATTATGTTCGTTCATAAAGATGTTAAACTCAGATTAGCCAATATATGTATGAAAAAGTTCGCTTGTGAATTATGTGAGGAGAAAGACAAATCTCTTGTATCAGTTCCATTTAAACAATTTAGATTTTTAAATTACAATTTCAATAATGTAAATTCATATGGGCCCACTGGTCTGTGGGTTTAAGAGCAGACAACACTCTTTATAAAACCGGCTTTAGTTCATCAGCTAAATGACGAAAACATAATTGGTTCAAATAAAAAGACAAAACAGTTCTTTACTGTGAGTAGGCCTACATGACCTGAAAAGTGAGAAATAGATTCACTTACAAAAAAAAAAATGTTTACACATCGGTAGGCAAATGACTTAAATATGTTCCATATTTTACACTATGGAGAGAAAAGGGGGCTGAGAGAAAAAGACGGAGAGAGGGCGAGCAAGAGAGAGAGAGAGAGAGAGAGAGAGAGAGAGAGAGAGAGAGAGAGAGAGAGAGAGAGAGAGAGAGATGACAACAGCTGGATCTTGATCCACACTCTCTCACTCCTCCTCTTTCCCTCTCGTGTCTCCTATCAGTTCATTCTCGTTTTCTGGATGTTTCTTCACTTTTTAACAGCAGCAGATCTGATCTTTGACAGAGGTGACAGATCTTTGCGGATTGTTTCATAGCCTACAGTTTTACAGTTTCGTTTTAGTAACCTACTCAGAAAGTTCTCTTCAGCTTGAGGGCATCCATCCTTTTTATCAACACGGATGTCCAGCTTCAAGGAGAGGATATGTATCAGGGCATAATGACAACCAACCACGGGACCCCCTCCTATGAGGCCGGATTCCTCCACAACGCCTCCACGGGCACCTCTCCGGTGTACGTGCCCACCACCCGGGTCGTCACCCCCATGATCCCGGCGCTGCCGTACCTCCAGACCCCCGGGGCCTCTCAGCAGAGCAGCCCGGTGTCAAGCCACTCTGCCTGGGCGCAGCCGGGCGCAGACTCAGTGTCCTCGTACAACCACTCCTCTCCGGTGTCCCCTCGCTTCAGCTTCTCCACCAGCCCGCCTCTGTCCTCCGGGATGGCCTCGGCCCGGGAGACAGCAGCGGCTTCATACGCTAGTCCGCTAAACATCTCCGCCAACGGGAGGGAGCACTACGGTGCCCGGAGTCTCAGCGGGTCCTATCACAGCCCCTATCCGGCTTATATGAGCCCCAACGTGGGGGGAACGTGGGCGGCATCCCCGTTTGAAAGCCCGGTGCTCCACGGGTTGCAGACTGGGGGTCCACCTGGCACAACACGGCACCCAAACATTGGTAAGACACTATTATATATATATATATATTTTAAGTGACTGCATTTTCCCCTCTCTCTCTTGAGAAAGTGTTGTCTTTTATATAAATTGAAATTATTGTTTTGAAACCACTGTTTTCAGGGAGAGGACAGGAACTAAAAGAATGAAGTTTAGGCCCAAGAAAACAGAGCTGCATGTTTTTATTTAATTTTCCTGTTTGCCTTAATCAGTTATTTAATTCCACACATTTTAATAGCCTGTTATTTTTTTTGCTGACCTTTACAAATTCTATTGAAACCTTAAAATCAAACCTATGCTGATTCATAACGTGGTCTTCACGTATAGCAGGAATTATCTAACAAATACAGATTACTTGTGTAAATAAAGATTAAATTTTAAAAAGGCCAATCAAGATAAGGCTGTGCTTTAATTATCCTGCACGCCGAACAAGCAATAGATTACACGAGAAAAACTGATTTGGACGCACAAAAACACAATCCATTTTAAAGTTGAGCCGACTATTTGATTATTTGATTTTACAAAATAAGAGGGAAAATATCGCAGAAATCGGTTTGATTAAGTGATCGGCCTCATCGGCGACTTAACTACATTCCTCTTTTTTATTTGAAGATAAATCCTTGTCTGTCTGGTCACAATATTTAATAAATCAATATCCATCTAATTTTAAGTGAGTTTGTTTCATTTTCGCTACTTAAACTCATTTTAATTCAAACAGCGCCCAAACAGCCTCAACTCAACTGGCAGACAGTCAAAGGCTGCCACAATTAGTGAGGAAGGGTCTTGATATTTACTTTGGCCTATGGAGTCCTGAATAACAGTTTTAATACCCGATCGTCACCCCTAATAATTTGACGTTTATTTCGATCTGAAAGAGAATTTCTACTCGACAGTGTCGCTATTAGGACTGCCTAAACTGACAGACATTTTCCTTCACAAAAATCAACGTTGTTTCAAATGACTTTTATTCCCTAAATTCATTCTGAGTAAGAATATCGTCTGGTCTTTTTGCTGGACTGGGTTTCGTCAATACGCTTTATTCGTTTAATGACGGTAAACTATACAGAACTGGAAAAAACTTCCAGACATCCAGTTCCACAATAAGGCTGCAAACAAAGATATCAAAGTGATCGCCATTTTGACACAATTTAGCCAAAAAGAGACGTGGAAGGCTATCATAGGGTTTTTTTTTCCGCATAGGGTTTTTTTTAACAGTATTTAACGAGATTTTAAAACAAGTATCCATAACTCAACAAAATTTGTATGAATGGATTTATGATTTTATAGTTCTCATCTAAAAATTAAATAACAAATACTAAATCTAATCAGGACATTTCTATGAATTGAGACAGAAAGATTATTGTTGTGCTATAAATTAATATTTAACCTATATAGGTTGAGGGTATTATTCCTAAGCTGTGTATTTGACTGTGGCCTTGTAGCCTGTGGGTTTTATTTGATGTGAAGTGTGTGTGTGAGGAAAAAAGATCCTGAACTGATCCTCACCTGGACTGTAAAGGACCTTTAAGGACATAAAAAGTCCTCTGTCATTCAGATGAAGAAGAGGTCACCTCAGTATATGTTTCAGCTTTCTGTGCTGGAGGTGAATTTATCCGAGTGCTGGATGAACTCTGGACTGAATCACTACTCTATGATTCTGCTTACGTTGACATTTTTCAGCCTGTGTTTCTTCTAAGTTGGACATTAACTGAAAACAATCATTCATGTTTAATTTCTTGTTCTTGATTAAGTCATTTACAACCTAATTTGAAGGCCTGGGTCATAATTATCAAATCACCTATTATTATTATTAACCAAAAGAGCAGCTGATTTCAGAAGATCACTTCTTTCAATAAACACCTGTGTGCCAGAAAAACAACCAAACATGTGGCAGTTTTCTCATTTGAATACCTGAAATGATTAAATGAGCAAATCCTTATAAAGTGTTAGTTAAAGAGAGGAATGATTGGTTGTGATCAGAGTGTTCGAGATAAAAGTATTGATCCATGCTGACCTCCTCATCTGATCACAGTTACACTCAGCTCACAGAGCAGTCTGTTTGATCACTGCGTATCTTTCTTTATGTTTCACTGTTTTGGGTTAAGATTAAATCAAATGGCAGACCGTGATTGGTCACTTGGATGGTGTAGAAGAAAAACTTCACTGTTACAGTTGAATATTTTTGATACTTATTGTTTAACACCTAGCTCTAATGAAAACATCAATTTTTTGAACGTATGTTTTGAGACAGCTGATATAAATCTCAAATTCAGTTTTAATCACTTTTTGAAGAAATCTACCATAACTGCCCATATATAAATATTCATTGCTTATGAGGGTTTTTTTAAAAGATATTTCACGATTTTGATTTGTTTGTTTGTTTGATCAAATCTACTTATTCAAATAAAAAAGCTAAACATTTTTAATATTTGATTTATTTTTTGGTTAGATATCCACGGAAGCCCGTGTCAAAATACATAAAAGTATGTTCTTTTTTTCTGAGCTTCTCCGGATAAAATGAGCTGCATTTCCAGAGTTAAAACACAAAAACAAACACAGAGATAGGCCTACAGGCTCAGCTTTTACCTCTTTAGAGCAGGCTATGGCAGCATGGTCAACTGTGAGCCGGCCTATTATGGTGACCAGAATTTATGTGTCGATTCTAGATCACTACGCATCAGGAGAAAACAAGCTTTGTTATCTTGAGATGATGAGATGAATTGATATACTAGAATAAAAAAAACAGCTTGGTTACACTGACATTCAAATCAAATTAAGTCAAGTCAAAGAAATGTTTCTATCAAGTATCAGAAACTGCGTAAGACAGACTTGCAACAAAAGAGGCATGCTCATAAACACATCATTTCAGTGCCATATTATGAGATCTTAACAGTGAAGATAGTAAAGCAGGATCTTGAGAAGATTAAATTAATTAAATTGATCCTTGACTGCAGAAGTTTAAGTAAATAAAATATACAGCTGAGTGTAGATATGAATGGTTATAGGTATGATCACTCTGCTGAGCCTTCAATTTGCCCAGCATGGCCGCTTACAGCATTACAACATTTCTCAAACATGCACTGACATTCTGGCCAGTATCATAATGATTCTATAATTGCATAATGTTTTTTGCAGTTTTTATAGGGTATAAGATATGAAAAAAACTTTAGGGACTAAATAGCATGCACAAAATATAACATGATCTCAAACAAGAACAGGCAGCAAAAGTTTCAGATAAAAACCTTATACTGCTGTACTTCAAATGTAATTTGCTGCTGTGCTCAAAAGATGAACTTACAACTTAAGTAGAAAAACTATTTATATACAACTAATTGTATGGTGGTTACTTTAAATAAAAACCCTCTTTGCCTCTCCTGCTGGGCATGAGGTCTCTAACTCAAAGAATCCAAAGAAAGCCAACTTGCAGGCTATCTGGAAAGAAACAAGACAGATATAAAAAAGAACAAACTGAGAATCTGTTAAAAAATGGTCAGATATACCCTGAAGTTTGTTTTCTAAATAAAAATGCTACTTATTGCCTGGCAGCATTAAATCCACGGTCAGAAAACTTGTTTTTTCTTGTCCCATGAAAGCATAGTAACCTGTAACATGTTCTCTTGCCAAACTTACTCCAATCAGGTGAGCAGTCGTGACAGCAGGGCCAACAACAAAAAAATGTATTTCTTTGATTGGATTGTTACTGACACTAAGAGAGCAGAATTTTACTCATCATAATTGTTTGCATAGCCTCATTATAAAACAAAAGTAGTGGCGTAAAGCGTAAAGCAAAATATGGGGAATACAAGTAGCCATATTTTTGAATGATTCATAAATCGACTTTATTTTTAACGCTAATATAGAAATATATCAGAACTGGGCCTGATATGCTGGTTTCCATTACCTCATATAATGGCTATAAGCTTTTCTGGTCTAGTTTTGATATAGTGATCATTTGCTTGTAGTTGTTACCTGAAATGTAAGTATTTCAGACAAGAATGTTTTTGTGTTATGAAGTCTCTCTACTTTTTTTCTTAGCAGAGCAAGTGAAATTTTGCTCCTTTTTAAAATGACCTGTTAGCTGTGCATGTGTAACTCTTCACATATATCACAGTCTGATGAGTCTGTTTCACCTTTGACCCCTTAAATCGTCACTGTGTGTGTTTGTAACTGCACCCTGATAACAACTCGGGCTGACATCAATGTGACGGAAAAACAACCCTCCACTAGATAGACATACACTGCAGTCACACTTTTTGTGTATTGTCTTGTGTTGCTTTGTTGTGTTGGCTACAACTGCTGCCTAGCTCAAGGTTAGCGTGCCCTGCAGAGCTCTATTTGGCTCTCGGCCTTGGAGGAGGCCTGAACAGAGAGGAGCAGATGGAGGACAGATTTATGCCATCCCAGTATTATTACTAATAGTGGAGTGTTGTGAAAAAAAAACCAAGATGATCAAATTCTGAAGCAAAATTTGTTTTGTTGTCCACTTCTCAAAGCATTCCCAATCATGGACCCACATTGCTGATACAAGTCATGACAAATACTAAATCTAATCACAGTTTTTTTTTTTGTTTTTGTTTCAGTGGAGTCAGAGGAAAGCTGAAATGTCACTTCCACACCATAAATTATTCCCCGTCCCTCACATAACTAATTGGTTCTTTGTAAAAACGATTATATTAATCATTTGTCGTGTTATCTCAGTTAGAGGGAGTGAAGAAATGTGACCGACACAGAGTCTCTATTAGAAAATGATGGAGATCCATTCTGTCTCTATTTCCAGCTGACTCTTTATCTCAAGCTGAGCTGTGATAAGGAGGGATTCCAGGCAGCCGTTGTGTGGGCTGGTTGGACTGTAGACAGCACCACCTGCTGGTGGAGAAATTACACTGCATTGGATGATTGCTTGTCAGGCTTTAACAGTGTCATGCAGTGTTTCAAAGTGACATATTAATTTAAACAATACATTAAAGAGTACTTTAAAGGTACCCCCAGAAAAGTCACCGTCATTCAAATTAAAATAAGATGCACATGACCGCATCCCTTACATTAGTATTAGTTTTTAGTCTTGCTTTTAACTAAATTTTATATCATTAACTTTACTAAAGTGTTTTAGCATTTGTCCCTTTCTAGTTTTAATGACAGGATCATCTTTTATTGAGCTATTTTGGTGCTCTTATTTTGGTATCTTTTATTGTTGTTTTCATTTCATTTTATTATTTCTTAAATTTCATCTTATGTTACTTTGTTTTTAGATTTTAACCCAACCTCAAGTGTTTCCTTATCTCGAATTTTAAAATGGCGTTTGCTCAGTGCGCACATTCCTGTTTCTATGAAATCGAGTCCTTTTCAAGTTCATGCATTTTAGTACATGTTTCTGTTGTGCTTAGATCACGGGGTGGGAATCCGGGATTGGGTTAAGGTAGATCCGGGTATTCTTTGTGTCTTTTATTCCTCTGCTGCGTAAAGCACTTTGTGCTACATCATTTTGTATGAAAAGTGCTAAACAAATAAAGACTGATTGATTGATGGTACATAAACATAAAGTGTGTTGAGATTGATCATACTCATAAAGTTAAACACTCTTTGTGCTATATGAGAGGGGGGAATAATTTAAAGTAGATAGCACTCTGTATTAGCATCAGGCATTGTGCATGATTTGCCTCCACTATTTGTCCTGTCTTAAGGTCCAGTTCATATAACATGCTGCTCTAATTCTATTTAAGCAAAAACACACCATCATTCTTTGCAGTTCTGTGCAGTTTGCTCTAGTTTTGCTCCTCGTTGCTGTCAGACATCTTTTTTTGCTGTGCACTCTCATCCCAACAAAACTCATTTTTGGCCTAATATCTATGATTTACTGTATGGGGAGGGGAACTTTCTTAACAGTGTATCGTGGCGTCAATTCATGACAGATGTGATGCTAATTTCCCCATTAATAACATGGTTACGGCCCTGCGGGGCAAGTCGGCAAGAGCACCTCCTGCATCATAACACCAGACTGTCAGGGGTGTGTTGAGCCCTGAACTGATCAGAGTTGGAGATATGTAGTCTTCAAATCAGCTAGATTTGAAGACTACATATCTCTGAGTAGGGCTGGGCAATACGGGAAAAAGTTTATCACTATACATGTTTTTCATATCAGTGGATATTGATATGTTTCATGATATTTAAAACAATTCATTTGTCAATCTGAAATGCTCCCTGTTACTCTTAAATGAAATTTAACATGTACTTGACATAATTTACAGTGCACATTACTCCGACCTCAGAAAAACAAAATACCTCCAAACCATCCAGGTTGAGCCTTTATCTGCATTTCTCCTGGGGGTAGCACTCATTTTCTTTTTTTTTCCACCGACAGTGCTGTCAGCTTAACGTGTTAAAGTGCTGTGGTTGTGTGTAGCTGCAGTCTGCTACAACGCTGTTTTTTGCTACTTGGTTCTAATTCAGCACATGATTGATTCAGCGCGGAGCGGCCCGCAGCAACTCCCCTTTTCACTGGCTATTGGTATAGTCTAACAAAACATGGCAGAATGCCGACAAGATCGAAAAGCATATTGACCATGTTTCATATCGATATCGAGGGAAATTAATTTTTTATATATATCTTTATCGTTTTATCGTCCAGCCCTATCTCTGAGGATATCCTGTCACTACTGTGTCACACTGACCACCAAACTCTCAGCAGCCAGTAAAATACAATTTCAACAAAGTGTGACTTGTAGTATGTGTGTTTGTGAATTGAACTATTTTCAAAGAATTTCATTTGCACATGAAAAAGGGACAGTTTTGCCACAATTTACTGCGCTTTGTCATATTTTATGAAATACATGCGGCACGAGTTCACAGACAGTCTAAGCTGCAGCTCTATTAGGTGGTGTCTTTTTGTTTCACGTGCACTTTTAGTGAATATCTATTGCTTAAAGCTTTTGTGAAAAACTTTAAGTTTGCGTGTGTTTGTGCCCCCTGTGGACATCAGTATCTTTTCTGGATTTATCCTCAAAATGCTTAAATGGTTTCCTCTGGCAAAAAAAAAAAAAAATTCTACAGTCTTTTCACAGTTAAATGTATGATTTAAAGTGAATATTGTGTGTGAGAAATGTAAAAACAGGGCTCTTTCTTTAGGTGCTTGGTTGATGCCTACCCCCTTGCACCCATTTTAGGCATTTAAAAAGTGTTTCCACAGTTTTTCCTCATGATAACCAGAATTGAATACTTTCAATGGGTTGTTTAACAGTTAAGTCATGTAAGACCCAGAAATCTGTTTTTTTTTTAAGTCATTTTATGAACAAAAGCAAGTTTCTCTTTGGTCCCGACACACTCTATAGTAGTCAAAAGCTCAGGCATATGACACACAGTAAGTTCTCTGTCTTGTTGTCCTTCTTCAGACCTGTTCGATGACTTTGCTGAGGGCAGAGAGTGTGTGAACTGTGGGGCAATGTCCACCCCCCTCTGGAGGAGAGATGGTACGGGTCACTATCTGTGCAATGCCTGTGGACTGTACCACAAAATGAATGGAATCAACAGACCTCTCATTAAACCTCAAAGACGGCTGGTGGGTGACAGTGGAGCAAACCCACTTCCTTTATCTTCATTTTCACACGAATCATACTGTAAGGAAATAAACAATGTTACATAGGGGACAGATTTACTCACAGAGGAGAAATGTCTGTCTCCTTTTTTCTCTCCTTTCTTTACATTCTTACAGTCTGCCTCCAGGAGGGTGGGCCTGTCCTGCACCAACTGTCACACCACCACTACCACCCTGTGGCGACGAAACGCAGAGGGAGAGCCAGTGTGTAACGCCTGTGGCCTCTACATGAAACTCCACGGGGTGAGTGAGGAATAATAAAACTTGTTTGTCCACACATTTAACTGATAACTTTTCTTCAAATGTCTCTACTCATGAATTTTTTATACACTTGTTGTTTTTTTTGTAATCTCTTTTTTAATGTTGAAATAAAAGGCTTTAGCTTTTCCATGATGCTTTGACAGGTACCACGACCCCTGGCTATGAAGAAAGAAGGGATCCAGACCCGCAAACGCAAACCCAAGAACCTCAACAAGTCACAGACTGGTGAGATTTAACTCTTGTACTTGCTCTTTTTGTTTGTAACTATAGATTATAGATGTATGAGCAGCAGCATGACTTGAATTCATGAATACGGCTTTTGCGCCTGAAAAAGAGCATAGATTTGTATATTATGAGTGTAAAATGACCTCAGGCCTGTTCTCTAAAGGGACCCCAGGCAGTGAGGGGACCCCTGTGACTCCCAGCAGCACTCCCAGAGCGTCCGCCAACGCCACAGAGGAGCCTCGTCAGATAAAGACAGAGCCAGACACTCATAGCTTGTACACACACCACGGCACACATACACAGGTTAGACACTTCATGCATCCGACTGCAGACAATTTAGTGAACAAATTTGGCTTAGAGTGTGCAAAATGAAGAAAGCTGTGAAATGAGTCCTGAAACTATTGAAATAGTCTACAAAATTGAGCCTTACTTTGCAGATTTTAAATCTTTTTTTCTCTCCTTCACATCCTTGTAGATTTCAGCCTTGCCAGCCTACATGGCAGCTCAAGGTGGGGCCATTCCTCTAAAGATGTCCCCTGGGGGCCACAGTGGGTCATCTAACTCCAAAGCTGAGCCCTGGAACAACCTAATCCTGGCCTAGGTGACCAACTAACCGACATTTAAGACCAAATTCTTCTTCTAAGTAAACTCTCCTGAGAGATGAGGGTCTGCAGAGACCAGCTCTGGATGTTTCATCACAGCCAAGGCAAACGCCCTGCAGTTCCTGCACTACAACTCACTGGGACAAATCTGTGGATGCCACAAATGAAATAAAAGAGTTCAACAGAACTGTTCTGGGTGTTCAATCACCTCACATGAGGACTGAATGGAGAATCAGGAGAAAAAATGGACTGTTTTGTCACTCTTACCTTTTATACCAATGTAGAGCAGGTGAAGTCTTTGACCGATACTGTAACATGTACCAGTAGCTAGTGACAGAGACGGTCAGACTTTGTGTACCTGACTTGACTCTATTTCAGTAGTTTTGTTTTCATTATGATGCCAAAAACCAAGAAGTACAAATTTGTTCGAGGATAAGAAGGGCAGTTGTTGTAAGTTTGTCGAAAGGGTCAGTTTACTTTAACGCTTCTGGGAGGAGTGTTTGGCTAGTTAGTTAACTAGTGAAGACTGAGATAAATGCTATTTTTCCAATTTACAAAAGCAGACAAGACCATTTGCAGAAGTTTTCACCATACTATACAGTTATGTTCACTCTCTTAAATCACTGCTGGGGGCAGATGCCAATAATAATAATACTTTACACCCTTGTTTTGATATTGAACACAGCAAAGTCTCATGATTTAAATTAAAGCAAAATAAGATTTATTTCATGTACAAGACAATGTCACCAATTGGAGCAATGAGAATAGAGGTATTCCTTTTTCACCAAAATCAACACAAACAGAAAATACCTCACAGGAGCTTTAATGCAGAAACTAACAGACATTTACCGTCACAATGACGCGTCTTTCAAATCGTAAATTACACTTGCTTGTTTTCGATTGAGTTAGCGAGTCTCGTAGAAATCTACAGCCCCAGTTTGGTCAATGCATGGTATCATTTTATGTTTGGTCAGCAATTTTACATGATAATTTTTGATGATCTTACAGACTATCCTATAAGGCACTTTGAGTTTTTGAAGGATTAATTAACCAGCACCATGTTATGACATCCAATCATAAAATTAGGACAACAAAAGGACAACAATAAAAAACTACAATAAGTGATTTGGGTGAACTGACCCCTTAAGTTTCCTTGAATTGGCAGACAGACTTATGAATAAAAGGCAATTTAAAAATGCTCTTAAATCTTAGTTGCTGTCTCAGTAAAGAACATTTTTTGTTTTCTCACTGGAGAGAATTTCCCATCCACCACTCCTTTACACCATTGCCATAGAAACAGCTCCACAGTGGCCTGTAATTTCCAAATTTATTTCCTTAACTTTGTCCTTTTATTCCTTTGATTTGAGGCGTAAACTGGCACATCCTCTAGTTAACTACCTATGCAGCAAGTGAAGCTGCTCATAATGAACGTGGATGGATTTAATGGCACAAAACTCCCTCTGCTGACTCATGCTGCGTTCCAGTTACCTCGTAAGTCTGATGTCGGAGCTGGGAATGACGAGTTGACGGCGTTCCAGTAAATAAGCCAGAAAACCAAGATGGACACCTACTGTTAGCTGCTGTTAGCTGTTGTTTACAATTGTCAGCTGTTGTCAGCCGTTGTCAGTTGTTGTTGGCCATAGTCAGTTGTTGTTGGCCGTTGTCAGCTGTTGCTAGTTGTTGTTAGCTACACCAGTTGTAAACAACACATAACACAGTATTTTACTCTTGCGAACACCATGTTCACAGTTAGACGTTGGGCAGAACAACATATACCACTTGATTAATTTCACAAAAACAAAACAGAAGTGTGAAAATATAATACATTACAAGAGCTTTCACTGTTACTCTTTACTGTTGATGCATTGCGCTGCCATCTTGGATTATGTTTCAGAGTCAGAAATCTGATTTCAGAGGGGCGTTCCAGATGAATTTCTGAGTCGGAGCTCAGAAATTTCATGCTCCAAGAATGCAGAATTAGATGCAGATGTGTCCCCTTTCTGGTATTTCTTGAATACAAGATAGTATAAAGTGACCAGATAGTTATGCAAATTAGAATCCTGACATAGTGAGCAGGACCTCAATGAGGAGCAGGGAGGTCTACTGAAAAAATAACATAACCACCCATAGCCTATACTTTATCATGCTTATTACCCAGCTAACAACAGGACAAAAGGTTGCGCCACGTTTTCCCGTTACAAGCAATCAGGGCAAAGTAGCTTATCGGATGACTCTCACATATGTGACCGCTAACTTAAGTGATTTCCTGACTCTGAAGACCAGCCTGAGACTGAAACTATAAATTTCCCAGACAGTTTAGTGATTGAGGATGCTCACAGGAGTCAATGTTTTTTGCCACAGTGACTACAGGCAGGGGTGAAATGTGACTATATTTATGAACAACATGATGTGGTAGATCAGGTTGTCTTCTTGCTGACGAGACTTATGCTGCGTTTGAGTTGCCTCAGAAGTCAGATGTTGGAGCTGAAAATGACGTCACACCCAAGTTCCCAGCGATTCAGTTACCAAGTTGGAAAAAAGCAAAATTAAAGGCCTGAAACAAGATGGTTACATCTATGAAAGTCATTTTAGCGCTTGCCTTATATCCGACAAGGCATGCGCTTAAGTAACTTTCGTAGATGTAGCCATCTTGTTTCTGCCTCCGATTTCATTTTAAGCCTGGACTTCTGACTTCTGAGCTAACTCGACTCAGCATTAATTACCATTGTTATTGTTTTGACCAATTTGAATCAAGTATTTATCAGAGCCGTATAATAACAGGGGAAGAACTTACAATCATAACTACATGATAATCCCCTTTCAGCTGCAGGTTGTGTGTAAATTTCTCTGGGGCAACATGTTTAAATGTGAGATATCTGACATGTAGAAGGAATGACAAATATATAAGTACAGTATATATGTAAAAACTCCACTCCAGTTTAATTGTAAAACACCATTTGTGATGTATTGTAAGTACAGACACAGTGAGAGATATCTCAGTGTGCACTAACACTACCTTTCTCTGTGTGCAACTGTAGCTCTACTGAGGAAACTAATAAAGACAAAGCATTTCTGACATAATGCTAATGGTATGTATGACGTAACAGTGTGGTGTCATTCATTCTTCTTTCTGTGAAATGATTCTTTCATTTGTTTCATCATTTGTTAGTTTAGAGTTCAGTGATCGGACACTTTGACTGAGGTTGTATTTGTCCAATTTGTAAGAATTCTTCTGAGACCGTTTTGATATCTTTGATAAAGAGCTGTACAGTGCATTGATTAAACTCTTCAGTCAGTTTCTCTTTGATGAATTCGGTGCATTTGTCTTGCATCATCTCCCTCCAACACTCCTGGAAAGTGTGCCTCATTTCATCCTGGACTGTGTTAGAGATTTGTGAACTGAAAATGTAATCTGACGCAAATGCCTGCCCGTTATCTAAATGTTCTGCAAAACTTCCACTTGTTGTTGTAAACAGCGTTTTTGTGGCTTCAATTACAAAGATCACTTCCTGTTTCAAAATTTCTTTCACCAGCTCTGGTTTACCTTCAGAAATACTTTGCATACTTCTGAAGTAGCTCCTCCAGTCCTGCTCCTGCTCCATGTTCATGAAAGGACAAAACTCAGATTTCAGGAGGTGTTTGATTGCAGAAAATACATTGTCACATAGTGGACTGAGATCTGTTTTCTCTTCAGATGCTTTTAAATAGCTCCCATAATCTTCAGTCTGATTTATACAGTCCACCTGGTTGCAGTTGATATCCCTGAACAGGCTTTCTTTGGGTCCTTTGAAGCCCCAACATTTTGCATATCCAATATAAGTCTTGACTCCATACTGACTCCACCACAGCTGGGCCTTTTGAACCAGTTTCAGCATGCATGGTTCAGTGTTTCTAGCCAAACATGGGCTGTTCATGGTAAATATGTACACCTTCCAGTCTCCTGAGACTTCCCCTGACTCCAACAGTTCCTCAGTTTGTTTGATAATGGTGTCCTCACTGTGCAAGCCGTGGTTGTAATTGGGATAATAAGGTCCATACATGACAATTTCCTCCTGCTTTTCAATAACTCCCCAAGAATGCTGCTTGTCCTCTACGCCACATTCTTCAGTCATGTCTCGGTGAAAATCCTGAAATTTCTTGCCCACTGAGTCACTGAGGAGAGCGTCATCTGTGAATTGTTTGAATTCGAGATGCTTCAACACTCTGTGCACAGATTTTTGTGTGTCAGCCCAAGAAGATAACCTCTTAAAAATGCTCTGAGCGTCAGGCAAGGGTTTTGAGTCGTCATTAAAAGAAGGGCCACCACAGACTGTCCTGCAACACAAAGATATCTTGATGTAAGATGAGAAAAAATGTAATCAATTTATCATGGCTCATAAAAGAGGTTGGTGGAGGAATTTCTCAGTCATACTTTTTGACAAACTTAACCCTTCCTGGTATTCTAGGAAATTCTTGAAAATCTGGGTCCAGATATTTTCGGGAAATTGCAGTGCACACATGCATATACACTTTTATGAGATATGCACAAGTTGATACACTGTGTTGCTGTTGCGAGCAAAGTGTGCATAGTGGAGAGACTCTGCTCAATGTAAACAAAGTCATCCCTCTGGCTTGCCCTAAACTTTCCCTATGTTTGCCTGCTTGGCTAATGCATCTGCTCACCCGAGCATGCAAGTCCTGATAAGTTGGTAGGCAGGTGCATATATGACTTGACCCCAAAAAAATTCTAACAAAAGGTTTCTTAGTTGTTATTATAGTATAAGGTGTCCTTAATGAAATACTAAAAGCTTCTAGCTAACCACTAGAAAGGTGCCATTTTCGAGATGGCATTGATGATGGGTAGGAAGCCCAGTGGAGACACTCCAGGTGAATAAGGTAAAATTTTTAAACAACAGATATCACCATGAAACTTCCCAAGTTTATAACTTACATTAAGACACACACACACACACACACACACACACACACACACACACACACACACACACACACACACACACACACACACACACACACATATATATACATTTAAATATATATGTATATATATATGTGTGTGTGTGTGTGTGTGTGTGTGTGTGTGTGTGTGTGTGTGTGTGTGTGTGTGTGTGTGTGTCAGACTTACTCATTCTTCTCCTCTTTTATGCTGGGATGAACAATAGAGGCCTGTATTTACGTTCAGACAAGTCCAGACCTACTAAAATGTACAACATTGGTGAGACGAAACAAGTCCTGGGTAGTGACTTGTGTTTCCACTTGCTGTTTATCCACACAGTCACAGGTTGTGATAGAACTTCACACATTTTTAGTGTTGGTAAACAGACAGCATTCCATGGTGAATGGTGACTCAACCATCCAGTCCTGTGCAAATATGTTATGACAATGGATAAATGAATTCATTAGAACTGTGTGGTCAAAACAAGGCTGCCGTGTGAAGGCTCAGTTCTGCTAACATATCTTAAAACATATCTTTATGCATATCTTCTTCTATTTGCAGCAGTTCTGTAATCTTATTCTGGTTTATTTTTTATACTTTGTTATACTTCTTTTTAACTGTGACCTTCACTAGATTTACCAGTTGTCACACTCTTCCTCCCATAGAGGTTGATTATAGTGATTCTCACACTTCTCATCTTGACATGGTCCACAAGCAGACATGCAAGGTAGTCCATATGCCCTGCAACTGCACCGTTGGGTTTGGCAGGCAGTTGTGCATTTACAGTGGATCATCTGCAGGAGATCCACTTTCTGGGGCAGCAGTCTCAGCCGCAGGAACTGGTTGTCCACCAGTTTCCATCCCCAGCCCCCTGTGTTTATGTCACCTTCCTTTCCAATCCACACCATGATCTGGAGGTAAACTCTTTGGCAGTGGTATTTGGTTGAGGACTCAGTTGAAGGCAGATGTTCTGGGGTAATAAATGATTTATCAGTAATGATTCTCTTCCTAAAAAGGTTGTAGCGCAAAGAGGAAAGTGAATTGGTACTCTTTCCACCAAACAATAATGCCTTGGTCCCATGGTCCTCTATGACACTCCTTATTTGATGTGGGAGCAGAGACATATTTGCACAGGACTGGATAGTTGAGTCACCATACACCATGGAATGCTGTCTGTTTACCAACACTAAAAATGCATGAAGTTCTATCACAACCTGTGATTGTGTGGATAAACAGCAAGTGGAAACGCAAGTCACTACCCAGGACTTGTTTCATCTCACCAATGTTGTACACTTTACAGGCCTCTATTGTTCAAAACTTTACCCTATTCACCTAGAGTGTCTCCACTGGGCTTCCTACCCATCATGGACGCCATCTTGAAAATGGCACCTTTCTAGTGGTTAGCTAGAAACCTTTAATATTTTATTAAGGACACCTAATACTAAAAAAACAGCTGAGAAACCTTTTGTTAGAACTTTTTTGGGTTTGTTTTTTTTTTGTCATATATGCACCTGCCTATGGGGTGAAAATGTATCTGTTTGTGTGCAGATTTGTAGCCCACCTGGATAAAATTTGGAAATTTTAGGAGTTTTTGCTACAGTTTCACAGGCTGTAATACTTCCCTTTATTTCTTCACAAAATAGCAAGAAAATTTTCAAAAATGATGTTACAAAACATCTATTTTTACCCTGAAGACGTCTTTCTCGTGAATAAACCTCGATGGTTTAATAAAACAGAGCTGAATTACAGGATTTACATAAAGTAAACGAAAAACAAGCTGTAATGACAAGTATCCATTCTACTATAACATTTTTCATTTTGTATGAGTGATTGAAATGGGTCAAGATTGATATTGGACAAGTGGAGTGGTACAGTTATACAGAGTAAAACAAGGTTACATATAGTATATCATAAACTACATAAAATGTGACAGAAACTATGGCTGTACCCTGAGAGTTTTGAAGCATGATTAAGAGGATGTCAAACTGTGACATTTGAAGAACCCTGTGGCCTAAAACAACCTGAAAGCTTGAATAACCCGACTACTCTCCTGTTGCAACACATTGTTTAAGCTGGCAGATTCGCATGTAGTAGTTAGTTCAGTACTTACTGCAGTCTGAAATGTTCTGTGGCTCTATCACTTTGATACCCATCCAGAACCGTTTTCAAGCCAGCCAAACATTTCTTTGAGTACAGTTGAGGCTCCTTAGATCCATCAAGAAGACGCCGCTTACGACTCAACCTGAATGAAAAAGATCAAGGATGAAAGAGCAGCCCCAGTACAGTCATTAGCTAAGGTCTGTCCTTATACAGTATGTTATGTAGAAAAGTGATTTAACCCATTTTGGTGCCAAAAACAAATTTAGAAGCAGAGGTGTTGTGTACTCACATGGAAAATGTCATCTAGACTCCTTGACCCTTTTCACTCAGGAATCAGTCAGTCAAATTCAGATCTTCTTTTTTCTGATCTCAATTGTCCAGGTTAAGAGTGAGACAGCTCTATGACGTTCTCAACACATTTACTCAGACAGCTGCTTGAGAGGGTGGGACTGTCAGCACTGAGCTCCTCCTCTTATGCTCACAGCAGTCTAGATCATCTCCAGCCTGCAACACAGTCAGTGTATTTACTCTTGCAGAGCAATTGCATTCACTGTGTGTCCTTGAGCTAAATCTGTTTTTATTACAATAACACAAGTAGTTCCTTGTTTATATAGGTTTCTTGTATTTCAATCAAGACCTTTCAAGAATAAAAAACATATATTTGACAATTATTAGAATGATGCTTGATAGAAAGTCTTTGGCGATTGGACTCAATGGGGTGATTTATTAAGGATGTAGGATACCTGATCTGTGCTGCAGCAGGAAAATCCCCCAGTGGGGTCCTGAAGCTGGTGGTGGTGGTGGCTGATGACTTGATGGGACCAGATGGATGAATTATGAAACTGTTGATTCTGCTGAGACTGGGTGGAGATAGAGAGGTGGAGGGTGCTGCACACAAACCAAAAGCAAGTAAGAACTAGAGGCAAAAAAAAAAAAAATGAAATGAGAGCTGACTGTGAGGGTGTGCTACCATGCAGTTGTATAAAGAAGACACAAGTGAATGGCAATTATAGTCATTATCCTAGTCATCTCCTAGTCATTCAGAACACACACTGGCAAGGCGTCTTTCCAGTATTACGGCCCTCGTCTATGGAACAGCCTGCCAGAGGACCTCAGGGCTGCAGAGAACATTCATGTTTTCTAAGAGCAGGCTCAAGACCCACCTCTTTAGCTTAGCTTTTAATGAATATTTATTTGTTTTATCTTCATTATTTTAGTCAGCCTGGGTTTCTTACTTTATATTGTAGCGGTTGAAATGAGCCTCACACGGTCGCACCAAAATATATGTAGCGATTTGAAATGAGCCTCACAAGGCCGCACCAAAATAATACTGTAGCGATTGGAATTTATAATAAATGTCTGAAGATTAATAATCTCAAATTATGACATTTATGCACTCGTTGAAAGGGGCACCACCCACCCTTAATGGTGGGAAAATAAAGAAAACAAAAGTTTAATTCAGAAATCAAACATCAAGTCAGTTTTAATTAATCAGTCTTAATTAATCAGTCTCATATCTTAAGTCGAAATTTTAATTTCAGGGACTCCACTTCTGGAAGAACACTAACAGACAGGAACTTAGAAAAATAAGGATCTGTTTATTACAGGATAAATGATGGTACAACACACATGCAATAAATGATGATAAGATAATGAAGATAAATAATAATAGGTGAATAAATAAAGATTCTGAGTCAGGCTAGGAGCACTAAAGTTAATGATAGTGAGTGAATATGCACTAACATATTAACCTACACTAACTTTGGTGTCGAGATAAACTCTGATGTGGATTTGGAGGAATCTAAGATCACCAGAAATAGGTGGATATCTAAGTTATGAACGCATGAGACAGCACCAGCCCTCTTTGGAGCTCTGGAGGTTTGCATACTTAAGTGAGACTGGTCCTTGGAGAAGATGGAGCAGGTTCCGAAGGTCCGGGGCTACTGGTGGTTCGAGCGGTTCAGCTCAGAAGACGACTGAAGTCAGCCGAAGGATGAGCCAGGAGTTTCAGCACTCGGGCCCGAAGCAAAGCCAGCGCCTGTGGATCCTGTGGACGCTCGTTTGGGTACTTCTTTGGTCTCACTCAAAAACTCTGGCACAGAGGATGACCTGGGCCTGCTGGGTTGCGTTCAGAGGTGACTTTGAAAATCACGCAGATAACTCAGGAAAACGAGACTCGAGCAGAGAAAACCTTCAAAAATGGCTTCGCGAAATTAAAGAAAAATCAATCAAAGGCTTAATCTTGAATTGCTATGCGCACAAAAAGTTTCAAAACTTGAACTAAGACGATGTTAAAGGAAAATCAACGTGAATCAACACGTGGCGTAAAACTTAGAAGACTAAGAAAAAGTTCTAAGAGAGAACAAAGAAGAAGAGGACCACAGAAGGGTGTGGACAGAAGAGAAGGGCCCAAGAGTAAGGGGCCTAAGAGAGACAAGAGAGTCAGCACACAAGAGAGTGAGCAACCCGACTTCACTGGTTTTATCTTCTCACACTGGGAGTGGCTCCGGCGTGTGTGTGAGGAGACAGAGGAGGGTCGTGTGGTCTCCAAGCAGAGGAGACCTCGGATCTCTGATTATTTGATCTAACTTATACTTTTGGCTGGTAAAAGAGTCAGATCTGATACTCACTCACTATGATTAATATCATCGAATGCTTGTTTTTCATGATAAATAATTTGATACTAAACACATATGAATGAAGTGTAGGATCACATCAAGCATTCTCATTATGTTTTAAGTATCACATTGAACATGCTAAATTACTCTGAAATGAAACAGATAGTAACACATGGAAACTGTGAACAACAAAAGAGTAAATATCCGGAGTTATAATTTGGCTTCTGGAGCACATAGAAAAACGGGAAACATCTCATTTTAACACAAATTTCATGATTAGACAGATTAGTACATTGCTGAATGCATAAGATGTCAGGATCAGTCATTTGTATTCTTTCACCAAAGGAATGTAGTCTTTATCAGTGTATGGTCGAACAGGGTTTTACGACCGAGGTCTGGAGGTCAGTGTCTCCCCCTTTTCCTGGGGTCCGTATGTTCACACACTTTAAGACGTTAAATCTCAAATGGGAGATCTGGGTTGAGACGTTAATATTTATTTAGATGGTCAGTGATGGAGTCAGTTTAAAAGGTAATAAAAACTCTGTCTCTGTTCTCTGAATTGACCAATCGTGAAGAGTCAGAAGTTTGGTCAACCTCCGGTTGGGTCACTTAGGCAACCTGAAAGTGTAAACAAGTCTGGAAAGATTTATATCCTGTTTCCTGGGACCAGATAAGGAACTTTCCTGTGAGGAATGTGTGAGATTCACACCCAGGGTTGTCTTGATTGCTACAATATTTATTTGGATTTATTTCACTAGGTGGTCTGTGGTTCATATTTTAGTTTTTACTTTTTTTATATTTTTATCATTTTTAGGGTCTCCAGTGTTTCCTCTGGGGGAGCCCTAGGCACCGGGAGCTGTGGTCGTCTGTGGTTGCAGGGGCCGGTCACGGGGTTCCCGGTGGAGGTTGGTGTGTGCCCCATCCCTCCTCTGGCCCTGTGTTGGTGTCCTGTGGCTGTGGGCGGCTCTCTGCTCATGGTGCTGACGGCTTCTCTGATGGCGCTCTCTCAACTGGTTCATCAGTACTCAGCCTCATGTTCACTATCTTAGTGTGCGTATGTGTAATGTGTTAGCGTGTGTTTATCTGTGTCTGTGTTTGTGTGAGGCTTTGGATGAAATTGTATTGTTGAGTGGGGTACGGTATCTGTGTGTGTATGTGTGTGTGGGGGGGCTTTTTTCTTTTGCAAAGCGTTTTGAAAATACAAATCTTTAGACACTTCTCGGCCACTGTATTTCAACTAACACTCTGTTGAATTTCTTACTACCTTTTACCTTTTGTGATGCCCCTGAGTTCTTTGAATGTGGCAAATAATGCAAAGAGGTTGGGCAGAGGCCACCTTTGCCCTCCTTGCTAAAAAACTGCTGTATGCCAGCTTGAAATCCACGCCCCCGCTAATGTTTTTCAATGCCTGATGTTACATTTATGTGGGTGATTCATGGGAAATAAATGGGATTCAAACAATTAAAAACAAACCTAAAAACACAACTTTTACATATATTTTGTCAATATGGGATACATAAGAAATAAATGATTTTTAACAGACTGTGAACATGTTTAACTTTGCTGTAATAATGTACTAGTTAACATGGGTGTTCATGGTGAATCCTGCCTTTAAGAGACACCTCCTAGTGGACACTTGTGGAACTGCACTTTGTTTGCACATCTGCATTGGCTTCAATCTAAACACCAGGAAAAAAAATTGCTACTGCACTAGAGCTAATGATATTCCTGTGTTCAGGTATCCCTCATCATTTGAAGCTTCTATCTCCATCTCTTTCTGGTGATATAATTGACTACAATCAATATTTATGGCTCTCTAAGACCTACAACAGCAACAAGATGAATATGAGTGATCATTCCTTCATGATAGTTTTTGATGCAAGCAACTGCTCCCACAGGGTTTTGTACATGTTGGCTCTCTGGAATCATTTCAATATTTTGTTTCAGGTCTGACTCAGTTAATTTTATTTGGTCTTTGATTGTATAGGCAACCACAAATATGGATACTTGTGTTCAACCATTGCTACTTACATAGGCCTCCTTTTTTCTTATTAGATCAGATAACATCCAGAGATTTGCTCTCCCCTCAAAGCCCCCATGAAGAGTTTACAGTTTTTAGTGATGAAATGGACTGAATTATATTGATGCTTGTTTTGGCTCAATGATAAACAAAACCGTCTGAAGAGACTGAATCTTTTTTTCAGAGTGTTTTTAAAAAGCTTTCAACCACCAGTGGATATGTCAGACCAAGTGATTAACAACAAACTGAACATTTTTTTTAAACATTCATATAACATTCAAACAGCAAATATTCTCTGTTCTGTTCAGTTCCATGTTTCACATTTAAGGTATTGCAAGATGAGATATTAAGTTTAAATATAAGATGATTGGATTAAAATAAACTGTTTGGCTGACACCCATCCTCTCACACCTGTTTCAAGTGTCAAAAATGACAATATGACAACTGTCAATCTTGTTGCTTATGGTCTTGTTTGCTTATAATTTATATTAAAAAAAGGAATTAATATCAATTTCGGTGTATTTTATAAATGTCAAAATGACTCCTCACAGGAGCTTTAACGTTTATGTAAAACTGTCATTATGAGTAGACAACAGCTCAGAGTTACACAGGTAGATGGAGTTGGCAGAACTTTCTGTGCTTGGTTTGTGGCTCTTGGATGTCCTTTGCTGACTTGTTTAAGATGCTTGGCAGTGATACAACTCCACTTTGTTCAGGCTCAGTTGGCTTTACTTCACACCTGTAGTCTCATTTTTGCTCAATGAATATATCCTTATAGGCACTTACAGAACATTAGAGAGTATTTTATTCTTTAAAATGATCGAGTTGTCTTACTTTGTCATGAGGGTGTAAAAAGGCACCTACTTGTTTTTTTTATTCTAGATTAGATTAGATTAGATTTTCCTTTATTCATCCCTCAGTGGGGAAATTAAAATTGTTAACAGCAGCAGTACATACAACATGCACATTCACATCGGGTACAAAAAACAAGAACCAGTGTAGAAAATAAAAGAGCTTTGCAAGAGAAGAAAAAGTATTAAATATGTGTATAAGAAAAATACATAAAGAGAAAAAGATCAGTGCCAACAAAACACAGGTATGGATGTGATACTAATACAGTAAACAACCAGAAAACAGAGTTCAGTACTACTGTGACTTTAAGATTTTACCATAAGGTCTTGTAAGGTTTATGATCTAAACAATGTTACAGACAGTTTATTTAATCAGACGGATTGAATATATAAAAGGATTATCAAAGTTAATTCATAAAAAAAAAATCAAAAGCCTACATTTATATTTTGGACTTTGAAAAGATGATTTTCTATACATAACTATTGTTCAAACTGCACTGCCTGAACATTGGGCAACATACTTTGGAACGAATACTTGAATAGCTTCACACTTAAAATGAGAAAGAGTAAAAATAAAGAGTATAAACTGTGTCCAGACAGTAAATGAGTTGATGAGCACTGTCTGGTTGTCAGAGCCAACAGGTATCAGTCCCTGGATTATATAATTTCATTGAGCAGGTAGTGTTTCCCTCTCGGATAGAGAACGGACCAATCAGAGGCCGCTCTCCTTTGACAGTCCTCTGAGGCGGGGCATCACACCAGACGCTCTGCCCGGTTATTAGTCCCTGCGCTGTAAGCCCATGACTCGCCAGCCAATCAGAGGCGTCAGTCGATCTGACGACGGATTGAGGCTGTGAACGGTGTCCTCTCCATGCTGGTGCTGCTGCTGTATCTCAGGAACACATCGTTTTAATGGGGAGCAACGCGGCGGGGTTACACACAAGTTTGTGAGAGGAAGCAGCTAAACACCTGAAGCAACATGGACATCCTGAAGTCTCTGGGCCACCCGGAGGAGATACTGAACCTGTTTAAATTCAAAATGGGAGGCTGCAGCACCGTCATGCCAAAATTGGATTATGTGAGTAAAGAAAAAAAAGAAAGAAAAAAGAATTGAATTAAATTCTGAGAGAATAGACTCTTTATATACCGTTTAAAACAGTCAGGCAGGATATGTGGTTGCACCTTCAACAGCTCTATTTATCACACAATCAGCATCAGTTCAGTTCTAGACTTCTGTAGCCACTGTAAACAACATAGTGTTAATAACAAGTAGGTCTATATATGCCCACTGTAGTCTATACAGTCTGAATTCTAAAGTATTGCCCTGTATGGTGCTCTCATTTTTGCCTCTTGATGAGCTGATGGAAACAGTCAGCTCTCAGGTCTAATTAGATCTGTGCCCGCACACCTGTGCTGGTTCACATATACACAGGCAGATATATCCATTGACTCGGGATTTCAATTACATAATGAGCTTGGAGGATTCATCAGTGGGAAGAGATGCTGTGCGCATGTTTAAGTCTAATCCTACTCCAATGTGACCTGGAGAGAGGGGGATAAAGAGACAGAGAGAAAGTGAGGGAGAGAGAAAGCATAGTCTGCAACATATAGCCAGCCAATGGGGCCTTTATTAGACCTTGATAAATGACACAGTCAAAAGTTCAACTAGTCTTGAATATCCACATTCATATCTAAAAATAAGAATCACAATCTGACTCAGGGTTTCTTCACTGCAGGGAAGGTAAATTTGAAGAGTAGCTGTGTGCATAGTCAAGACACAATAAGATTAACGATAAAATTGTCTACCAGGCTGCAAAAGTCAACACTCTGGCTTCATGTGCATCTTAATGACTTTTAATCAAAATCAGAATCAGAATGTCCTTTACTGTCATCATACTGAAATTACAACAAGACTGGAGAGCTTCTCCATTTCCAGTGCAATAGATTAAAAACAGAGACAGAATTACAAGTACAAAAATAGTTGTTAGAAAAAAGAAAGAATAGTACAGACTATATACAAGATAAAATTCTGTAGTGTAGTGCAAACAGTACAATGAAAACTATATATATATACTTTAAAACTATATACTATATTTATTTATATATATGATATAATATTGAGATAGAATTTTTATTTAATCAAGTGCTGTCTTATAAAATAACACATTCACTGTTAGTCCAGGCTTCAGTATATTTCCTTCCATCAACATGACAGACTTTGCTGCACCAACTCTGTTCACATGAATCCCACCATGCAGGTGACAGTCAACTCTAAATACATCGCACCTGTTCATTCTAATGGATAGGCTTTAATGTATGGGTTAAAACTGGTTGTGTGTAATTCTGTCAAAACTCTTTGAAGATCTCTTGTAAACTTGGTGCAGTTGTCAACACTTGCATACGTCCTTGAGATGCAAGTTCTAGTTCTAATAGTGCATAAAAAATTTGAATCTGGAATAAACAAGCCAAATTTCTTAGTCAAACTTAACCAAATGTCACTCGTCTAATGTGGGTTGGAAACTCCACAACACCACATAATAATACAGAGATGGTAAATGATCAAATGTCCTGAATTGCTCCAGTCTTTGTGTCTGTAAATGAGTAGACTGGATGGGCTGACTGTCATTATAGCACAGTAACTACAAATGTCTGCAAGGGTTCAGTTTGCAAGTTAGGTTGGTGATGGGATGGAGCCTGGTTGTATGCACAGGTGCTATTGATTCATAATCATGCATCACACCTCTCTTGCACTCCAATTATGACACCCAACAAGATGTCATTTTGTGAAAAAAAAAAAAATCCTGTTTCAAGAAAACTTAAAACGAGGAGCTATATTGACAAAACATATCTAAAAGTTGTGTTTTTAGGTTTGTTTTTAATTGTTTGAATGGCTTAGAAATAGAAGTGTTTGTGCTTCTAGAAAAGTGAGTCCTTTATGCCCGCAGTAGGAGCAGGTCTCATACAAAAAGTCAGCGATCATTCAGCTGCGCTATAGGATATGATAATTCTGGTGTTAAAAAGGGGCTTATGAGTTCATTCATTTTTGATTGCGAGTTTAGTTGCACCTGTAAATTCTTCAAGAGGTTTAGAAAAGAACAGCAAAATAAATATCAATTGATGGCTATCTGCGCCCTTACCAGTAGATGTCACTATACCTCCACAGTTGTCCTGATCTAATTTATAGTGACAGATCATACAGTGCATCCAAATACTCACAGCACTACACTTTTATCACATTTTCTTTTGAGAGCTTTATTCCAAAATGGATTAAATTCATTTTCTACCTTAAAACTCCACACACAAAAACCATCATGACAAAGAAAGAAAAGGTTGTTTCAAACTTTTACAAATTTATACAATTGTAAGCAGTTGTAATACAGGAGGAAAAAACATGATCCCTGTTTTATTGATAGCAGTAGGGGAGAGTGGGGTGAGATGAGACATTTTTCATATTTCAGATCACTACATCAAGGCAATCATAGTTTTGTCTCTAACTAGTGTATCTGCATATATTTCAAGATGTTGTGCATCCCTGCAAACCAACAGAATGAGTGTAAACATAACTGTCTTGATAATATAGCATGCCAAAAAAAAGTGGTCTCCTAAGGTCAACTAACCCTGTGTATGGAGTAAGTTGACCATAGGAGCGAGGTAAATTGAGCCGTATCCCTACTACCCCCCCACTCTCCACCCCAGCCCTCCCTCACCTTCTCTCTCCCTAAATAACAGTCACTTCTTCACATTCATGAGTATTTTTTATCTTTTATACGCTATTCAACTGCTACAATAATTCTTTTTATTATTATTGGAAATAACTGCTTAAAAGCTATTTTGTAAAAAGCCATTTTAACATGAGAATGCCTTTAAGTGATTCAGAACATTCACAGCTGTATTTTTGAAAAGAAAAAGTAACACATTTCAACAATCTGAACTGAAACTCTGATCCTCTCATCATACAGGCTTAACTTACCCCAGAATTACTATGATGACTTTAATAGTCCTCTAAGCTAAAATGGTGGACTTTTATGTTAGGTTTTTGACCTCATGTTGTAGCTCATAGATACCACAATTGACACAAACAAATTTAAAATGATCTTCTTTGGTCTGAACACAATTTTAATCAAACTTGTGACAGACTAAATTCACTTTTTAGAGTGAAAAATGTTTTTGTTCTTTTTTTGTGAATAAATGTCTAACCCCTTCACCCGTGTGATCTAACCTTCACAGACTCCATGAATTGATGCCCATCTCCTAAATATTTGGTCACACGATCAATTTCTTTTACCATTTCCAAGAAACAGGGGGTGGCTCAACTTACCCCACTCTCCCCAATAGGCTTTTGTTACAGACTACTTCGTGTTTTTGGTTCTGTAAAAATGGGTGGATAATATAGAGAAGAGCCCTTTGTTAGAGAATTTAACCACAGTTGACAGGAGTGCCCAAGTGGTGGTGATAGAGATGCCAAAGCTTAAGTAGGTCATTCAGTGGTAGACGATTTAATGCTATAGTTAATACGCAGATATAAATGCGTGGGCCGGTGTGTTTTCCATTTAAAACGCGATTCCGTGCATTCGTATAACAAAATGACTATCTTATGTTTCCTCCGATGTATAATTCAGTACATTTTGCTGCAGCGTAGTTTCACAGTCACGTTTCTTTGCAAACGGGCAGATTAGGAAACACGTCGCTGTTGTTTTGGGTAGAGGAGGGGGGAGTGGCGTAATGATAACAGCTGATCTACAAACGCCTGGATGGGACCCGCTTATGTAAACTTTGGTGAGCAGAGTGGTTTTAGATCAGCGGAGCTCTTGTTTTAGCTCTTACACACGTCCTGCTAAAACGCTGTCACCTCGCTCGACCTCTCCGCACGCTTGTCCTCTACATGGACTACGTCTTTCAAACATTTCCACCTGACGTGGCGACGACATGCACAAGTCCGTTTCTTAGCTGCAGGTTCGGTGGTGCTGTTGGGTCACACGCATGGCTGGAGCTTGTTGCAAGTGTCCAGTCTCTCTGTCTGTCCTCAAGCGGACTCTCTCGGTTACTCCGCGGGGCTCCGGATCAACTCCCCCTCGGTCCCTCCTCCTGGGCTGGAGGCTGGGGGAGAGGGGCCTGCAGGAGGCCGCCCGACCCTCCAGTGCCCTCAGACCTGCAGGGGTTTACCGACACACTGCTTTTCTCTGTGTCTCCTGCCAGGAGTCCATGAGCGAGAGTCTGCGGACGTGTTATCTGTACCTGAACCAGACCAGTCGGAGTTTTGCAGCTGTTATTCAGGCTCTGGACGGGGAGTTAAGGTGAGTAAAAGAGTGGGACTGAGTTTAGCTGGCCCCAGGTGGGCAGGGGCGTGTCTCTGTGCAGGCATGTTTTCTTTGCTGAGGGGCAGAACCAGGGGCGTTGGCTGAGGGTAGCTGCCTACTTCCCTTTTCTTCAGTCTAACTGTGCCCTGCAAAACAAGCCTGTGTGCAACAGAAAGACGGGTTGTTGACTGCAGTTTAGACTTGTACTGCATTAGTTACATGACTACGGTGGCCGAGAACCGACACTGCTGCAAATAAAAAAAGAATGTAAAAAAAAAAAAAAGAAACACAACTGTGCCTAAATCGTAAAACACTGGTGCATCATCATTGTTGGTCCCCGGCAGCTCACTTCCGTTGTGGCTTTTTTTGTTAGCATTTTTATATTTTTGCAGTGAGTAACTTTTTTTTTTTCCATCGCCACTTTTCTTTCACATCTTTAACTCCTGTTGTGGTTTTTTTATCTGCACAGTTTCTTTTTTAATTTGCAGCTCGGGCTTCAGTTTCTTTTCTTTTGCATTGTTAACTTCCTTTAAGGCTTTTTTTATCTGCACCGTTTCTTTTCTTTTTCGGTTTCTTTTTTTTTGCATCGGTAATTTCTGTTGTGACTTTTTTGCATTCCTTTTTTAGTTGCAGCAGTGGTGGTTCTCAGCCACCGTACATATCTCTATAACAGTCCAAAACTTAATTGCTGGTTAGATCTGAGGACTGCAGACATAGCACAGATGAGGGCCAGGTGTTTGTGCCAGGTACCGTGTCCTTTATCCAAGACAACAATAGGCACAAAGCTCATCAATTCAACCACAGGCAGCAGCTCCAAGAAAGCAAGTATAATGCAGTAGATGGTTGACCCGAGGCCTTAACAGATTTTGGAAGAGTTTAAGTATTCACCGAATAAATTTGGATAAAAAGCGACATTTTAACAGCAGTCATCATGAAGGCTGTCCCAAATACAACTTTTCAACTTCCGTCACATTACCAATATTATAGACTTCAATATTGACCGATACCGATATTGATCCGATATTGGCATAAAATTGTGCATAAGTTTTTCACTCAGCTGCAATGTCTTTTTCAGACTGAGACAAAAAATACTGCCAGAAGGCCGACATCATTCCTGCTCCTTGCTTCTGTGTTAGTATCTTAGTACACACTGTTGTTGTGATTTTGTGGGCTGAGCTTGCTGTATCAGGGTGCTGCTAGATAGAGGTGTCGGAACGGAGTTTGGAATGGAGTGCTTGTATTGGAGTGCTCACACAGAGATTTTAGATGCAGGCTGATATAATCCAATATTCCTTTTTTGCTGATATTGGGCCAATATCCGATATCTATATCGTATCGGGACACCCTATTTATTAGTGCTGAGAATATATAAGTTTTAAAATTTATTCATGAAAGCAAACTTCTGTATGATAAGGTGCAGTAAAACTAGTAATAATAAGAGTAAAGGCTGTCACTTAGGACTGCAAGTAAATCGTTGACAGTCAAAGTATGCATAACTTTCCAATCACTTCAGTCCTAATCATTCAACCAAATACGTGCTGTGTTATTAAACAGAATATGTTTATATAGCACCACAGACCCTATACTTTTCCTGTGTCAGAATTTGATGAATGAATAACTAAAAAAAAAAGCAATGATTTCTGAGAGTTGTTCCAGGTTTACATTCTGTTATCAGTCATCAATTTATCTGCGATTTCGTTTAGCAACTCAGAGTGACTAATGAGTAATAAAACAGATGAAATTCATTATCATTCCCTATATGATGAGGTGTATTGCGTCTGTAAGACAGAGTAACATTAAACCTCAGGTGATAAATAGCACGATGTGGTCAGATTCTTGTGGTGACCTGTAGTGACATGCAGCAGGAATCCTAAACTGCGAACATTATGAATAGAGAAGTCTGCTGCTGCTCAGCGTCTAATTTAAGATCACCTTTCAGGTCAGAACTGTCAGTCAAGAGTAGACAGCTGATTCTAAACGCACATCTTGAGCGTGTGTGTTTTTGTGTGTGCCTTTTTATAACTCTGTCAAAGGGGGAAAATTGTTTCTATGTGTGTGAATAAGTGGTGTGACAGCTCTTCAGTTCTGTTAATGCTGGTGTAACGTTTTTTATTTTCTCCCCTTTATCTTTGTCTTCTACCTTCTAGACATGCAGTATGTATTTTCTACCTGGTGCTGCGAGCGTTGGACACAGTCGAGGATGACATGAGTATCCCTCTGGACAAGAAGGTCCCCATGCTGAATGATTTCCACACCTACCTGTACCGGGATGAGTGGTGCTTCACAGAGAGTCAGGAGAAAGACAGACAGGTTCTGGAGGATTTCCCAACGGTCAGTTGCGTGGCATTAAGAGAGAATATCAGAGCTTTATGTACTGATAAAGTCCTTTTAAATGACATGCAGAACCCAGTAAAACATCAATAGAGACGCAGAGCTGTGTTTGTTGTAAATCATTAACTGTAATTTTCATGTGAACTTGCTCTCCAGATATCACTCGAATTTAGAAACCTCGCCCAGGAGTACAGAGATGTCATCTCAGATATCTGCCACCGCATGGGAGTGGGGATGGCTGAATTCCTGGAAAAGAAAGTGGGATCCATGAAGGAGTGGGACTTGGTAACCTTGTTAGCCCTTTTTTTAAGATTTGCCAAGATTTCAGGGGAGATATTGCCTATTTTCAGAGTAAACATGGATTAAGAAGTAAACTAACAAATATGCTACAACCTTGACCGATCTCAGGGAACCATTTCAGAGCTATAACAAGTGATAGGGCTCTAACTGCTAGCTCATGACCCCTTATTAGTCTTGACCCTGAATAGATTTTCACTGATATCACTATGTTAAATCACCGGTAAGGCTGTATTCTTGAATAAATGATAAAATTACCAAACTTTTTAATTACAAAGGATATTTGTATGAATAGTTTTTGGTCTTTTGAGACATGATATTCTGTTACATGTCTGCTTCATACATAAATTCTGCATTTTACTCCTTTTAAAAATAGTTGTCATAATATAGCATGTTAGATGTCATAAACTCATATACTCATGCATCTGTAATAAGCCTATACTAACCCAAACAATATCAGCAGCCCATACTTAAAGGGATATTCCAGCGTAAAATTAATTTAGGGTCAAACACACTGTAACACTGTGTTAGACACCCCCTCAAGAGATGAATGTTGCCGACCTCTTGCTTCTCTAGTTATACCAACCAACCCTAATGACCGCAGGATAGCAATACACAGGGGTCTGAGGAGCCATATACAGACCTCAACCAAAAAGCCACTCTATAGCCACAAATAATGTTCAGAACAGCAGCTAACTTCATCAACAGAACATATAGGGTCCCAGCCATAGTACTAGCCACCAAACATCTTTTTAACTTTATGATCATTTTTTCATGGAAATGCAGTCAGACCGAGACACTAAGGCAGAAGAACTACCACATCTGCAGTGCAAAATGATTAATATGATGATTATTACTTTAAGGAAATGATAAAGAAATGATCATAAATGTTCTTCCTTGAGCTGCGTCACCCTGCTGTAGTCTGTAATTGACTGGCCTGAGGTCTGGCTACAAACAAGTGGCTGGTAGAAGAGAGTAGGTGAGTTGTGTTTAGTCTCTTTGCTAAAGAAATTAGGCAAAGCTAAAAAGATGTTTGGTGGCTAGTACTATGGCTGGGACCGTATATGTGCTGTTAATGAAGTTATGTGCTGTTCTGAACATTATTTGTGGCTATAGAGTGGCTTTTTGGTTGAGGTTTGTATGTGGCTCCTCAGACAGCTGTGTATTGCTATCCTGCAGTCATTACTAAAGTTGGTATAACTAGAGAAGCAAGAAGTCGGCAACATTCATCTCTCGAGGGAGTGTCTAACTCGGTGTTACGGTGTGTCTGACCCTAAATTAATTTTACGCTGGAATATCTCTTAAAATCACTACAGGAGATTTATTAATAAATCAAAAGATTTTTTTAAAAATGTCTTCCTTCTGATGAGCACTGCTCTGGTGTTATTCCAACGCTGATATATCTGTGATAGACCTATTTCAGTCTTATAATATCAGTCAACAGGTAGATTGTGGCAGATAGGCAGTGTTAAGATTGTGTAAGCTTATACTATGTTGTCATGTGTTGTCCTCTATGCAGTACTGCCATTATGTAGCTGGACTGGTTGGCATCGGTCTGTCCAAGCTGTTCTCTGCGTCCCAGCTGGAGGACCCTGAGGTGGGGCGGGACACAGAGCTCGCCAACTCCATGGGCTTGTTCCTCCAGAAGACAAATATCATCAGAGACTATCTAGAAGACACGCAAGAAGGACGTGCTTTCTGGCCAGAAGAGGTAAGATGTGATCCTAGCATGGTTGTCAGTCTGACCGGAGCATTGTTGGAAGTAAATACTCCAGATTTCATAGTCCATACTTTATCAGCTCCAGTGAGAGTTATGAAACTGATATCTAGACAAAAGGTATTTATATAGTCTATGTTGTCCTTATGTGCTGAGGACAAACCCATTGTTCTGACCCTTTTTGTCTGCGCAGGCTTGGAGTCAGTTTGCAGGTCATCTGGAGGACTTGGCCCGACCCGAGAAGCTGGACTCTGCTCTCTCCTGTCTTAACCTGCTGGTCACTGATGCGCTGCGACATGTACCGGATGTCATCGCCTACCTGTCGCGCCTGCGTAACCAGAGCGTCTTCAATTTCTGTGCCATTCCACAGGTATACAGACTAGTCACTAGATCTTGGCCAGTATGGTAGTTTGGAGCCTGATACTGGCTGTAGATTACCAGAACAGTGGTGATATATTAAAAATTTTGAGCTATAATGAGTTAAAACCTTTTGCATGGTGGTTAAACAGAAAGCACCATTAGAGAATAATTAACTTTGTATTATGTGACCATCTGCCATATTGTACCGTATCATGTCCCACAGACAGGGCTTAGTGTTGTAAAGTATTAACAAAGAGCTTTCTGCTGAATCAGATTCTCTTTAGAAATAAGTGTTGCAGCTGGAGCACACGAAAGACAGGGTACAAAATGATAATACAGTAGGAATAAGACCCGAAAAGTCTCTAAACCAAACATAATAAAAAACTACACAGTATAAGAAACACCATACATGTACACAAGATCACTAAAAAATATTCAGTCCAAAGCCGAAAACATACAGGATCCGTATTGAGCGCGTTCCATTTTTACTCCATAGAGCAGCATTTGGTTTCACATATAGAATGCGTATTTGGAGCGTGACAGCAGCGTAGTGCAGCCTCGGTCAGCTGGGCTCAGTATAGAGGAAACAACATGCTCACAACAGGTTGTTTTGCCTTTCTGTGGTCTATTTCCTGCTGATTTGGATATAATTCAGTGACTGTTGAGCCTCTACTCTGTGTGAAAAAGCAATGTGATTTTACAGTTTTTGTTTTTGCAGGTTTACTCGTGTTTAATAAAGTGAACTATGTTCCTATATGCGGTGCAGTAAAAAATCCAGTTGGGGTCCACATGGATCAGGGATTGACCATCGGATTGTTCTGTGTTACTGATTAATCCATAACCAGGATGAATATCTCATCTACACGAACTGATACACAGTCGGGAGTTCGCACATGGTGTTTTATTTTGAAATATCGGATGACATGCACGGTTTTTGTGCTTGACTTTCTGTCTCAGACAGCCTTCTTTGTGTGGATTGACACGCATTGGAAGCGTAGAGCAACAAAAATCGGCTCGCCGTGTATCTTTAGCAGAGCTGCTCTTTATGCAATGCTGCAATGGAGCTGATATTCGTCCTGTATGTGATACCACATTGATTAGAATGGCAACCTATTTGCTGCGTGATATGTGACGCTGCTGCCACGCTCCAAATACGCATCCTGTATGTTTTAGCCTCAAGGCTAATTCCAAAACTGGAAAATAACTGCCATGTATTGTGAAAAGTTAAAAGTGTAAAGTGCGGATTTGCAAAATAAGCCATAGCAATGCAAAGAACATGGGCAACCTAAGGCCTAACTACAAACTTTTGACCAAACAATTCCAAAATTATATAATGGTGCACTTCAGAACAACATTTACACTATTACAGTATAAACATGTGATATCTGCCTTAACAGTAGTTGACCTGTCAATATCATTTAGGTTCTGTATGTATTTGAAATCCAAAAGATTTTTATTTTTCCTAAGGATTTGTGAAAACAACTGATATTCCTAGTTTTCTTGCATTCCTTTTCTTGATGTGGCTCCTCTTTTGACCAGGTGATGGCGATAGCTACACTATCAACGTGCTACAACAACCCCATGGTGTTTCAGGGTGTGGTGAAGATCAGAAAAGGACAGGCAGTGACACTCATGATGGAAGCCACTAACATGAGAGCAGTGCAGACCATCATCGCCCAGTACAGCCAGGAGGTGTGTGTGTGTGTGTCTGCTCTTATACTTCCATCAAATTGGTGCACTCTAACTGATAACACTTTGCTGTTCCTGCAGATTTTACAGAAGGTCTCTCTGACCGACCCATCGCGGGACAAAACTCTGCACATCATTTCTCTAATCCAAGAGAAATCTGCCCTCTCCCAGTCCACCCTACCCTCCAGGACCCCCCACCTGTCGCCCATGTATCTATCCGCTGCCATGCTGCTTGCTGCCCTCAGCTGGCAGTACCTCAGCACTACGGCTGCACAGGCACAGGGCACAGGAGACATGCAAGGACAGTGAACCCAGCTGCTCTTACTTTTCCTGGGGCCCACAGACTCAGAAAGCCTCTTTACCCACTCTGGAGGTCTTGTTCTTCTCTGACTGAGTGAAGCTAAATCACTTTCCTCAGTCCTTCACTTTTAGTTTTTGCAACTACAGGACCATGGACCCTGATAGACTGTAGAAGTTCTGGTAACAGACTGGGCTCATTACACTTTTAAATATCAATCCACCTGGTATCTGGATAAATTATTTACATATTCACCAGCATAAATGGCACATTGAAGCATTCAGGGTGTTTTGTGGTTTGATGTTAATTTAAAAAAATAATCATTTGTTTAAAATGTTTTGACCCTTTGATTTTAGTGCAATTTTTGTGTATTTAAATATTTCAAGACAACAGAGAAACAATAGTTTTCTACACCATGTGTGCTGTAATTGTCAGATTCACAGTTTTTCACACTGCCCTATTTTTTTGTAGAATACAGTCTCCAAACCTAAAATTATCGCTAAATTTTGTGTCAAAGCCTAGTTGGGATATTTGTGTGTCAAATCAAAGGTGTCTCTCTCTTCTGTTTCTAACGTTAATACAGGAACAAAACTTAAATGAACTGTTACGAGTGCACTTCACAGTGCCTGCACCAAGTGTTAGAATAGATGACAGTATACACTTACTCTAGAGCTTTACTTTAACACGTAAATGTCTGTGTTCTCTCTGTTTCTACTCTTTGTCCTTTGAAATATCAGAAAACAAAGAAGTGCAATCCAGAGCAAGTTTTGACATAATATCTTTGATGAATTATGGAGAACAAATGTAATTTCTGATACATTTGATATCTAAGAGAAAGACTGCTAGCTTAAGTGTCCTTAACAGAGCTTTGGGGAGTAGAAAGGCTAGCACAGAGTAACCTTGTACAGAACCAAAGGGGAGCTATGAACATTGCTATGTAATGTGAAGTTTTGATTTGTACATATTTGAACAAATAAAGAGGTAAAAGAATCTAAACAGTCTGAGTTATTCTGCAGAATACCACAAGTCGTGTTTTATTTTTTAAAGCTGGATGATCATTGGTAGGTTGAACCTGGCTTTATAGTGCCCAGACTGTAAAATTATATTCTTTTATTTTACAGCACAAGTTCGAAGTTGAGATATTGTGCTGCACTTTGCTTTAGTTGGTAATAATTCAGAGACAGAACTTTATTTGTGTATATCTATATTCCCTTTATCTCTGACAAGTTACTGTTTTAACATCATCTGTCAACTTTGGTCCGTACTTTCTTGGTCACATGAGATGCGCACTGACACAGCAGTCAATAAACTGGCATGTGACTCCATGACTTGTAAAAAGGACGGTAAAAAGTGAGAATACCGGTGATTATTTTCACTGAGGGGGAGAATCTGACAAGAAGAAACATCCATTGGAGCAACTGCAATTCAGGTAACAGTTTGGATCGTTCTGTATTTTCAATTGTGTTTTTTTCTTATAATTCCAAATCTTAAAAAGAGGAATTTAGATGAGAGGATTAGAGGAGTTACATCTTTTACATCTTTTCATTCATATATTAACAAACTTGAAATTAATCTGAAATTTTTATATATTTTTAATAATTATTTAAGTACCAAAATAAGAAATGTTTGATCATTGACTATCTTCCACACATTGACTATCTCTCACTGTGTGGGGCTGTAAGTGTATATTTCTTTACTTTTTAACATTAACACCATCACAAATATCCCTAGCAAAAATGAATTTTCATAGCAACAGTATACTCTTGAAAAATAACAGTCCATTGCTATGGAGTATTGACCAATCAGAGCCAGGTATTTAACACATCATTTTTTTAAAAGAGAAAGCAAGGTGAGCAGAAAGAAACCCTTGCAGGGTGAGCAAGACCGTGAGATGAAGCATATGATGATGATTATGTGGCACTTCCTGCGATTAACCTTCCGAATTTTAGGGAGAACAGCTGTTGCAGATAAACATATTTCTTGAAACTGAGAGTCACTTAGCAATAACTTTCTGCATCATAAACTGGTATAGATTTAACCAGGTCAAGATTGCTTATTCATTTTCTTGAATAATGATAGAAATTCATGGCTCATTTTTGCTATTGCTACAAAAATAACACTAAAATCTGGACTAAAGATAAATTTAACAATTTTAAAACAAACTAAAAACCCCACTTTTAGTTCATTGGTTAATAAAATTTGCATTAGGTTCGTGTCCCTCTTGTTTTCACAGTAAACAAGTGAATTTCTCTTGCACCTGAGTACTGTCTGTTCTCAAACTTAAAATGTAACTGTGGCTCATTTAGCCATGGCACATTTTCTTACTGTTAATTTTATCATTTTATTATTATAGTTTCATTCCATTTTATTTTAATTCTTGTATTTTCTTCATGATTTTCTAATTTAAATCCCTTTGTAACTTATGTCTGTGAAAAGCGCTATATACTCACTTTAGAAAATCTAGTGCAGATGATAATTTTACAATCTTATCTTCTTATTAACTTTTTCCTCGTGATTAGAGATGATATCACTACAGACTATTTCAAATCTACATGTATCTGTTCTTCAGGATGTATTCGCTGGCCCTCCTCTGTGTGCTTGTGGTGGTCTCTGTCACTCATGCTCGGCCCCACCACCCGATGCTCTCTCCAGAGATGGTCAACCACATCAACAAGGCCAACACCACCTGGAAGGTGAGCCCATTTTTATCCACAAAAATATATCAAGTGTGTTTTCGGTCTTCATGGTGACCATCTATGTGGATGCATAGGCATACTGTCGCTCACAAACTGATGTTATTTCATAACTTTAACTCTTTTTTGCTGCAGGCTGGGCTGAACTTCAAGGAGGCTGATATAAGCTATGTGAAGGGACTGTGTGGGACTTTACTAGGAGGACCCAAACTGCCAGAGGTGTAAGTCTCAATACTGTATATGTGATGAGGGTGTGTAAGCTTGATTATAGATGTAAAATCTCTCACATGCACAACACAGGTGACAGTCATCTGCTTTGTTTTATAGCAGATACATCTGATTACTTTTTAGAAGGTCTGGATTGTGAAAAAAAATAAAAAATAAAAAAAAATAAAAAACTTAGTGTAGACTACATGACAGCAAATCTTTTCATGTCAGACCTGTAAAGAAATGTGTTCAGATTTTACCTTGTTCATTCTTGATAAGATACCAGTTTCTGGAAGCATAGTATAGCATTTTTTCTAAATTTGGGTATTGGGAAAAATTCATTTTGATTGTTTGTTGATTTATTTTATTCACATTGTCTGCACTGGGTGTGGAGGTGAAGTAGCTCACAAATAACTGTATGTTGTTTCACAGACATCTTAGCACTTTTGAAGGTAATCTACACGTGAATAAATACCGGAGCATTTTGAGATGATGAAGTGAGAGACATTAGTACTGTCTCTCTGTTAGAATGCTGAGCCCTGCAACTACTTTGCATGTCTTTCATGAGTAATACTGGCAGAGTATCATAGTTGGTGCTCAAGTCTTTACAACACCAATAAGAGAGGCCATCCTAGGGCCATTAAGTACAAAGTAACACATGTGACTCACCCATTTAAGCAAGTGATAAAGTAGAAATGTTGAATGATTTCTAGTTGGGTTTAATTCTGTCAGCAGTGCTCAGTGACTTCCCTCTCTTGTTCAGGTTTCATGATACTGACAACATAAGACTCCCAGACAGCTTTGACCCTCGCAAGCAGTGGCCCAACTGCCCCACAATCCAACAGATCAGAGACCAGGGAAACTGTGGCTCCTGCTGGGTAAGACAAACTTACAAAATCCTGTAACAGCACAAATAACTAGATAAAGTTTCAGGTTCTTATTTTGAGGGGACATAAAAGTCACTGCCTCTTGTTTCCCCTTCATTCCTCATAGGCCTTTGGTGCAGCTGAGGCAATATCAGACAGGTTGTGCATCCTCAGCAGTGGTAAAATCTCTGTGGAGGTCTCTGCTGAAGATCTTCTGTCTTGCTGTGATTCATGTGGCTTTGGGTGAGCATTTCTGCATGAAAATTAGTCAGTTTCAGGTCTTTTAGGAGCAGATACTGAAGATCACCTAAAATTTCTTTGAGTCTAGATGTTCTGGTGGTTTTCCCTCTGCTGCATGGGACTACTGGGTGCAAAGTGGGCTTGTGACAGGAGGCCTGTATGGCTCCAAAGTTGGTGAGGACTGAATATTTAATCTTTCAAGAAGTATTAAAAACAGTTCTAAACAAATATACTGATAATGCTGGCATGTTTGATAGGCTGCAGACCCTACAGCATCGCTCCATGTGAGCATCATGTGAATGGGACTCGTCCTCCGTGTCAGGGTGAACAGGATACACCGAAGTGTGTGCAGCAGTGCATCGATGGGTACTCTCTGTCCTATCCCAAGGATAAACACTTTGGTACAGACATTTTTACACCCTATAGTAGTTGCAGGTGCTGAGGCTTCTGTATCTTCGGTGTGACAGTGGTCTTTGTCTCCCTCTGCAGGTAAAACTTCGTACAGCATCCCACCTGATCAGAAGCAGATCATGACTGAGCTTTTCAAGTCTGGCCCTGTAGAGGCAGCTTTCAATGTGTATGCAGACTTTCTGCTTTACAAGTCAGGTGAGGATGGTTTGCTTAGTGTTGCAACTCTGAAAGTGCACACTCAGAACACACCAATCACTTCTCAATCCTGTATAACATTTTTATCTTCTCATGCCAATTTACACAATTTTACTTCTAAAGTTTGTTCAGGCTACTTAACTTTCTTGAAAAAGGACAATGTCATCATACCCTGTGTTTGCAAGTTTTGCTATCCAATATTAATACCTTACAACAAGGATCATCAAACCAAAAGAGTACTACTGGTTTAAAAATAAAATCCAATACATTAAATTCTGTGGAGAAAAAATAACCCTTTTTAAGCTTTGGGTTATTCATTTCTTTATAATTGTGCTGCAGGTGTTTACCAGCATGTGACAGGAGACATGCTCGGTGGTCATGCCATCAAGATTCTTGGCTGGGGTGAGGAGAAAGGGACACCCTTCTGGCTGGCTGCAAACTCCTGGAACAGTGACTGGGGAGATAAAGGTACGTTAGTGGAAAAACTAAGGTGCCACATAATCGGAACATTTGTGAAGCTTATATAATTTTTATGTGTCTTCTCATTTTAGGCTTTTTCAAGATCAAACGTGGAAATGATGAATGTGGAATTGAGTCAGAGATGGTCGCAGGAATACCACACTTCTAGGCCAACTGAGCCCGGGCTTCAATTTGAACTTTTTCTTGATGAAGAAAATTTACACAGAGGCGTTATCTCAAAAGACACTTGAATGGTGCATTTAAAGACAAATATTGGCAGACAGCATGTAATCAATAGGAATAAGTTTGCATCATGTGGGGAAAAAAGAACTGTTGTGGTGTCTTTGTTCTCTGTTCTCTAATTTTACTCTGAAGGCCTGAAATAAAAGCACTTTACAAATAATATTTGATGTGAGACTAAGGGTAAAGTTTCTGTTAAAATGTTTGCAAGGTCCTCATTGTATCTAAACCTTTAGCAGTGGCAGGATGAACTTCACAATTTCATCTGCTTCTGAGTCTTTTGTCTACCGCTTTAAATCTCTGTGAAATTATTGGCATTGTGTTTGTTTATTCATTGGGTACTGCTTGTATAAATGCAAATACAGATAACAGGTAATAACTTAAAGGGATATTTCACTATAAAATTAACTTAAGGTCAAACACACTGCAACACTGAATTAGACACCTCCTCGAGAGATGAATGTTGCTGACCGCTTGCTTCTCTAGTTATACCAACTTTAGTAATGACCGCAGGATAGCAATACACAGCGGTCTGGGGAACCACACACAAACCTTAACTAAAAACCCACTCTGTAGCCACAAATAATGCTCAGAACAGCACCTAACTTCATCAACAGTACATATAGGGTACCAGCCATAGTACTAGCCATCAAACATCTTTTAGCTTTGCCTGATTTCTTTAGCAAAGAGACCAAACACAACTCACCTACTCTCTTCCAGCAGCCACTTGTTTGTAGTGAGACCTCGGGCCTGTCCATTACGGACTACAGCAGGGTTACGCAGCTCAAGGAAGAACATTTATTAACATTGTTTTATCATTTCCTTGAAGTAATAATCATCATATTAATTATTTTGCACTGCAGACGCAGTAGTTCTTCTGCCTTAGCACCTCGGTCTGATTGCATTTCCATGAGGAAATGATCATAAATGTTCTTCCTTGAGCTGCATCACCCCACTGTAGTCAGTAATGGACTGGCCCGAGGTGTTGCCACAAACAAGCAGCTGCTGGAAAAGAGTACGTGAGTTGTGTTTAGTCTCTTTGCTAAAGAAATTAGGCAAAGCTAAAAAGATGTTTGGTGGCTAGTTCTATGGCTAGGACCCTATATGTACTGTTGATGAAGTTAGGTGTTGTTCTGAGCATACTGCTATCCTGCGGTTGTTACTTAAGTTGGTATAACTAGAGAAGCAAGCGGTCGGCAACATTCATCTCTCGACGGGGTGTCTTACTCGATGTTAAATTAATTTTACGCCGGAATATCCCTTTAATATTTTATTTACTGCATATCATATGGAGATACGATTATCGTGTGAATGGGGGAAACTTATTCTTATATGTGCAGTAAGTATAAATGCTTTGCATCCAAAGAAAATGTAGAAGCCCACATGAAAGGTAGAAATCTTCAAATAGCTTGTGTGACAGAGAGGTATAATAGCTAAGAGAAAACCACCAAAACAACATGAATACCTCAAGGTGCCTTTACATTTTAAAGCACTGGTGGTTCTAGCCTCAACAAGAAAAAGCACAAAAGAGTGACAAGAGGGAACAAGCTTGTTATATTACAGAACAGTCATAACTGTTGTTTTACTGCATTGTGTCTTAAATGGGACAAAATGCATATAGGTATTGAGAAAAGTGCAGTGCATGCATTGTTATCGGTGGGTTTTTTAAAACAGGTCCACAAACATACAGCAGGCCTGTATAAAAATAGCGCCTCCCCCTATTGTGAAAATGATGACCTTGTAAAGCCGGTTGCACGACGGAAGGTGGCAGTAGTGCTACTAGTACACTAAAACGAGCTAGAGAAGAAGAACTGCGCATGCGTATTCGGAATTTTCCATGTTTGTAGTATGTCCGCACTGAGGGCGGGCTTTGGCGTACTGAAGGACGTACCCGTTCAAACATACGATCTTCAGCTATCGTCTGACACCCAGAAGCACCACCTCCCGGCGATAACACCTGAGAAGAAGACTCGGGGTGGATAACCCGGTGTTATCTTCACTGCCTGACCACATGGGAGGTGTTCAAGTCGAGGAGTCCCAGTGAAACCCTCTGACGTTAGCTGGTGGTGGGGATGAAGGCAGGTTGTCGGTCACTAACTCACGTCAGGTGTCTGTTGGTTTACGAGTCATAGTTAAAACTGTTTTTTTATGCTCTCTGTCTTAGCTACATATTGGTAAAATATAGCCATGTTTATAGCACATGTGGAGCTATGGAGAACATACTGGGAGTCTGTTTCCAGACCTTACACGGTGTTCATCTGTTCCCTCACGGCCGCACTGTACTATCTGTGGGGCCGCAAGTGTCAGGTCAGTCTCTGCGGCTGAGGCCAGAGAGAACCTAAGTTTGTATTCACTTTTATTCCTCTTCATTTTATTTTTCAGTAATTTCTTCAACCTGTTTGAGGTTGTTCTTATCTCTTTTGCTGTATTCATCCACTCTGCCTTTTTTTGTTATTTTATAACAGGTACGTACAGTTTAGGCTCTCCACTTTGAGAGTTTCTTTAATTTTTCTTTAATTTTTTTTCATTTACATTTTTTTCGTACATTTTTTTTTCATTTGTTTATTTTTTTAAATTTAATTTTCTTTAGTATTTGTTTTTATTCTCATTCTTTTTTCCTTTTTTAATTTTCTGATTTTTAATAATTTCTTATTTACTTTGATTCTTTTTGTTTTTGTACCAGACAGCTCAAGGCATGGTGTCTTTAACATGGCATTTTTGCATGCGCTGTCTTTCCTTTACACACCAGCTAAATCCCACCGTGTGCTTTATAAAAATACATACACAGGTTTATTCATGTGTGCTGCATGGCTTGTATGTCATCCGCTATAGCCTAACCTTTTGATTTAGGTACCTTACCAAACTGAGGGCACTTTGTTTGAGAGCAAGAGTAATTTACTTACACTTTTATAATGATGTTTATTGTTTAGATGAATCTTCAGCATATAGACACTTCAATAGATGTTTTGTAATGCAACAGAATACAGCTTAACACAAGGAATGCAACTGGCATTTTTATGACGTACTTGAGCCATGGTTTAAAGATCCCCAATCAAAACTGTTTCAGTTCAATGAGGCATTATAGAAAAAAAACACAAAATTATCTTATAAGAGGCGAGAATAAGTTCACTTTTGTAGATTTGTACCTTGAAAATTAACTTGATATGACTTGTAATAATAGCTGTGTGATCAATTTTCTGCCTGTCTACCATGAATTCCATGTCAGTACACTGTCACTAAATACTCATTATGTAGGCTAGATATTAAGATCTCAAGAGTGCTAAAAAAAATCTCATATAAATGCTATTTATATTACACATGATTTTGTTTTCTGTCAAGTACAGCACTACGAGTAACTCCTCATTAGTTCACACTCAACCAGCTGTATACCCATCCAAATATGTGCACCTCCTCGTCACCATTTTGCATCCAGTCTTTTCTTACATCATTTTTTTTTTTTTTTTACTTCGGCTTCTGTTTTAATACTTTTTCATTTGAACTTTATTTTCTCACAGACACCTGCTTTGGTTTCCAGCAAAGCCTTCAGTGTGTTCCTCCATAAGCACTGTCCTGTGGTGGCTGAGTGCTTCAGTCCCACTCCGTGGTGCTGGGGGGGCCGGCTTCAAACCCTGGTCTGTGCCCTCCTCAAATCCAGACCCCGTGTTACATATCGCAAGTATGCTTATCTCTTCACCTTTAACATATGAGTATTGAGTTATGTGCTCATTTAGTTACTGACAGTCTGTCCTTTGTCCCTCAGTGAGCTGATTGGTACAGTTGATGGGGGTCAAATCTCTCTTGACTGGGTGGACAATCAGTCCAGTGCAGCCTACCCAGAATGCTCTACTCGCCCCACCGTGCTGATCCTACCAGGCCTGACAGGAAACAGCCAGCAGTCTTATGTACTCCATGCCATCAGCCAGGCCACCCGCCGTGGCTACAGGTCAGTCTTCTCCTCAGCTGTGTGCTGTCTTTGATCAGACTCTGCATGTGTACCAGGGACATATGACAATGTTTCATCCTTTATTTTTAGAAATGTGAATCACTCATATTGTGGGAGTTACAGGAAATTTGTTTAAAAACTAGCAGGAGTCATTGGTTACATGGCTAAGTGGAATTTATCGTAATTGCTTAGACTTATATGTCTAGGTGGCTGCTGCCTTAAGATACTTTTGTTGGCATTTATTTTCCAGATGTGTGGTGTTCAACAACCGCGGCGTTGGAGGAGAAGAGTTATTGGTAAGTAAAAGTGCCTGAAATGTGGTAATGTTAGATTTCATGCTGGTTCCTACAGATTCTATGCAAATAAGAGCCTTCTTGTTTGTCTAATCTGGAAACGCTGGAGACTAAATACGCCTGTCATTAGAAATATAGTTTGACCCTGAAACATTACCCCAGTATAACACCTGGGAAAGACTTAGTTGATTATAGTTGCTTTACATTTTGTTGTTAAGCTGTCTTTGATGGTTATCATAGTAAAAAAACTGTTATTTATTATTTATTATACTTATTTGCCCCTCCCTTTTCCAACACTTTTTAAAAACACTGCAGATTTAGTGGACCTAATCAGCTTCTCACTGACACAGATTCTTGAGAAATGTGGAGATTTATTAGAAACAAGCTGAGGCAGTGTTGGTTTTGGTGTTTTCATAGGATTACATGCCATTAGGATAATTCTTTAGTAACTACACACAGCTTAAACACTGAATCTAGTACTTAAATGCTGCATGTTTTGCTTGTCTTCTTCCTCTCTGCCCGCTTCAGACGCCTGTTACCTACTGCGCGGCTAATACTTCTGATCTTGAAAATGTAGTGCAGCATGTCAAAGGACTTTACCCACATGCCCCTGTGCTTGGTGCTGGTGTGTCTTTAGGAGGGTGAGTTGGTGGAGGGTGATGTTTGGAAACAACTCATTTTATGATCAAATTTGAACATTTCTCCTCTGTCAGTCTTCCTCAAAGTTCGCACATTTTAAAAAAAATTTCCTGTTGTCTTTTCCTGTTTTTTTCTTTTTCCCTCTCCTTTTTTTTAATCCTCTGTAGCATGTTATTGTTAAACTACTTGGGCCGTAAGCGTTCAGACTCAGGGATGGTTGCGGGTTTGACCATTTCTGTCCCTTGGGATGCACACAAGTCCTCTGCTTCGATGGAGGAACCACTCAACTGGCTGCTCTTTAACAAGTACCTCACCAGTGGCCTGTGTCGGGCCGTCACCAGGTCAGTAAAGTTGTAGCCTCATATTGTCCTGTTTGTAGGTTAAAAACTATTGGAGGTTGTTGAAAAAACTTTGTCTCCACAGGCACAGGAAGATGCTGGAGAAAGTGGTAGATGTTGACTATGTCTTGAAGGTGCTCCTGGTCTTTAAATCTAACATCATCTATTTTTTGTCTTTTTTTTTTGGTTCTTTCTTTCTAATCTCTTTCTTTTTTTACCCACTGTCATAGGCACGGACTATCCGCGAGTTTGACGAACGTTTCACCTCTCTGCTGTTTGGTTATAAATCTTGTACTGAGTATTACCACGATGCCAGCCCTTACAAAAAGCTCCCAAATACAGCAGTACCCATTTTGTGTCTCAACGCAGCTGATGACCCCTTCTCTCCCCAGAATGGTGAGTAAAAAAATATCAATACACTCACATTTCGTGATACTGTGTTGATAAAATAATATTTTAGGTCCAAACAAAGATCAGAAATGGGAATTCACAACACACACAACATGAACAGCCCATCATGTTGTCTACTAAAACATCAACAAATCACCTTAAAGGTAAATGAACTTTAGACCCATTTAGTGATCAAAGGTAAAAAGAATATTAAGACCCATTGAGTAATTTAACTCTGATGGGCTTTTGAAACACAATATCAAGCAGATTTGTCCCTTAAGTTGACGTGCTTTAACCAGATAGATTGGCTGCATTAGTGCAAAGATATCTGTTTGGAAAAAATTAATTGCCATTGTTGTTATTCCAGATCATATGTCATTGATAAGTACTACTTGGGCTACAAAAAGAAGCCATAACACTCTCCTCACTGAATATCCAGACCCCGTCATAGAGATTCTACATTTCAGTGTAGGATCTAAACAGATCAAACAATCTCTTCTCTTCACTGGCAGTTGTCTTTGTTTAACTAGTTTGGGGCCTGGACTTGTTTTATTTGACAAACTTACAAGCCATGCACCATTTGCTCCTAAATCTATTTCTGGGTTTGTTATGCCGGTATTTTCCACACAGCTCTATGGATGGATGTGTTTCAGCATGATTAAGACAAGATATATTGTACAACTAGGCTAGATATGGGGATATTGAAAATGTAGGTTAAAGGTTTGAAATTTGACCTGGCAGTAACAGTGGACATGTAACTGAGAGAAATGTGTCTGGATTTTCTTAATAAATAAGTGTTTTGTTCATTAATATATGTTTGCTTTTTCAGATGATCTCAATGCATTTTTTTCTCGCTTACACAGCCTTTCCATTGGCCATCGTCCAAAGCCTGCCCAACGTGGCTCTTTTGTTGACAGCCCACGGCGGACACATCGCCTTCCTGCAGGGTTTGTTTCCCCGTGGTGAGAGCTACATGGAGCGAGTGTTTGGGCAGTTTGTCCAAGCCGTCTTTGAACACCCTAAAGATATCATGAAAGCGTGTGACATTAAGGAGGAGAAGCTGAGTTGATCATCTTCCACCTTATCTTTGCACATAGCATCTGCTTACATAGCTGCAGAAAAGATGAAGCCACTAGCCTCACAGTGATGATAAAATGCAACAAAATGCAACAAACCAAATGCAACGTCCAGCTTTGCATGCCGCCATAATACCACAGAACAGATGAATGACCAGAGTAACAGAGAATGACCTACTGTACTGTACAATCATCCAACCTCACTGCAGTTAATCTACCTCCTCACCTTCTCAGGTCGTCTTTTGATGAGCAATCAAAGAAGGTTTAGATAAGTGAGAATTTGTGATATTACAGCAAAATGATGTGTGAATGCGTATTATTGTATATACATCAAAATGTTATAGTTTTAAAATTATTTATCAATAGATTGTAAATTGCTTGAAATCATGTTGTTCCACCTCCACGTGCCGTCCTAAGGTTTATAAAAAATGAGCGCACAACTTTTCCCTGCTTTAAAAATGGGTGCTTTGATTTTAGGAATGTTGTTAGAATAAAAAAATGAACCGTTGTGAACAACAGAACAGAGGGTTTACTGTTTGATTCACTTTATTTGCTACTCTAGTTTCACAAGAGCGTGTTCTTTGACGTATGTTACATGCCTTAAAGGATTATTTTTACCCTAGTTGAAGCCTTGCATGCTGACTGTACAAACAAACTCTTGTACGCACAATACCTTGAGGTAGCCGTTTTAACATTTGATGTTAAAGCTGTCAGTCTTGGATTTAAAATGCTCACAGAGTTAGAAAATGTGTATTTTAAGACATATTTATTCATTAAAAAAAGAAAAGAAAAGAAAACAGAAATGAGCCTAATGTAAAAACCATGTTCACTTGTGTATGTATTTGTTTGAAGTGTGCTGGCTGCCTTGTAACTTGTGCTCAATATCAGAAAACTATATTTAAAATTCAGCTGATACCAGTTAATCTTTGATTCTTGAAAATTTTCATTATTACTTTTTATTTAAATTGCAAGTTTTGTGTGTTTTATCTTGCCTTCTTTTTGACATTAATGCACATTGTCAAAATCATGTTTACCACTCTAAGCTCTCACATGGTTGTCATATTTAGGAGGCATTCGTCTTAAATTCCAACACTGACCGACCAAGTTACTATGTGAGAGCCTTGGATGACATTTAAAATCGCTTGAGAAAATGCTGATGAAGTTTTTTAATGGATTAAACATGGTGTGCACTACAAATGCAAACATTTTTCACTTTAAACATGCTTTTAGCAGAAGCAAAGTGGTTTGATTTTAAGGGTCATTTTTGATCGTGATGTAACTTGAACCGTGCTGTTAAAATCTGTTTCTTGAGTAAATTACTGCCATGCTGTTTGCAATAATTCACCTTGCTTTTTTCTTTATTTAAAATGTTGTTACAATTGTTTCAGTCACTGCTCTGTTGAACCTGAAATCAACCACATATTGTTTTTGCAATACCAGCTATCACCTCCAAGGACTTTGGGCATTATGAACAATGGATATCTATTTGTGTTTCCTTTCTGAATGACAATTAAAATTAAAGATGACAATAATTCAAACCTTGGCGTCTGCTGGTGGTTTTTGAATCTTTTATGCATGCAAAACAGTTCTGCAGAAGAGTATTTTTTTTCCAGAAGCTACTGCCGATGGCGTCACGAGCTAAGATGTGTTTTGATTATTCAAAGTTGCTATGTTTGGAAAAGTCTTGAACCATGCTCAGCCCATCACTGACCTCCTTTGGTTTCACAGCTGTAATCCAAGTGGTTTAATCTCTGAGCTGTGGGGTCATTTATGTTGCTGATTAACCAGAGTATCAATAATTAACTGTGAACAATAAAGGCCTCCACCCTCTGTCACAATGCTAACCCTTCAGCCACTCTTATTTTCATTTAATGATGCTGCAGTCTGAAAAACATCCAGTGGTATGTGGAAACAGATACATAGAGAAGTAGACACTTCGCTTCTCGCTAATGTTTGAGTTGTCCTGGTTACCCTCAGTTTGGAAAATTTCTCCTAAACTTACACTGTCAGGTATGGAAATATAACTTTCAAAGGAAGGCATTCAGCAGGTTCATAAAACAAAAAGGAAACCCCTGATTCTGCAGAGCTATCAAGATTGAAGGAAAACTGTCACCATCTCACAGCAGCATCTTTCTTCTGATGTCACGCACCGGAGGCTAAAATGAAGTTAAAATGAATAATAATGATAAGCTATGTAGTACACCTGTGCTCTAGGCTGAAATGGAATAGAAAAACACATTCCTAACTATTCATTGTTTCCGAAATAAAATTACAATCGGTATTGATCTCTACTTTTTAAAAAATTCTGGTTGCGATACAAAATTAAATCATTAATACCGATATCTATAGCACTTCAGCATTAATTGGCTGATGTTTTTGAGTGTTGGATGTGATTGGTTATTAGTTAGTCATAGTTACAATAAGTTATTTAAGTTATTTTCCTAAAAAGATTACACATGTACAGGCCATGGCAGATACTACAAACAGATAGATGTACTGCGTTTCACAGAGGCTTTCATCTAAAGCTACTAAGCTAATGTTAGCATTCAAGACTTTTTTGGCTAACATAACTGTTGGCTAGGAAATTATGCTATCAATAATGAATGTACTTACCAAACAGATAGCAAACTAGCTACTATATCATGTTACATCATAATATATCATGTTACGTCATTGGTATGTTTGCTGGAAGTGGTTGACTGCTAGCATAGGCTGTTACTGCAAATAGCTAAAGGCCTACATTATGTTGCTGTTAGTAATATAGGACAAAATGTACCAATTTGTTTTCATTGTATATTGTCTTTATTGTTGAATAGTATGTAGTTATATGACAACATTTGATTTTATAACTAGACCTAGCATTTAACACTCGCCTGCAACATTTAAGTTGAGTGTGATGTTGAAGGAAAAAGACTGCCTAATCGCTTATCATACAGTTTATCAGATAAAACATAAAAAAGAGTGAAGTATTTGTCCCTGTTGATTATGTGCTTTTCAGACAATTCTTATAGGCTATTACTTTTTTTTTTTTTGGGTCTCATTTCCAAAGTGTTTACAACATTCCTGTCCAAATATCTGTCCTCTTTGTTTTAGATAAAAATTCCACATGAATTTTGTGGACCAGTTCAAGAACATTCATATCAGCGCCATGAAATAGCATACAAAAAAGGGGTTCGTCTGTGATTTTACACTTAAACTTTCTCTCTGGTCCTTCTCCTCCTTCTCTTTTTGCCTCTTTATGCCTATACCTGGTGAGATGGGAGGGGCCCCAGGTTATAAGCTTGGTTAATGATTCAACACCAGGGCTGCCGAGATTGATAGATAGAGAAAAGAGAGGAAAGATTGGGAGTGAGAGATAGCTGAAGGGAAGTAAAAATAGTAAAAGCTAAAGGGCAGACATGACAGTGTAAAACTAAACAACTGTGCAGAGCTAAAAGAAGTGGAAGATGTGATGCCTGCATGCTTGTATCTGCTCAGGTGTGTAGAGTCTGTAGACAGGCTTGGGATCTGGCAGAAGCAGTGAATACTTCTCCTCGGCTGAGATAGGATCTTCTTGGCAGTTCAGGGTGATTATTTTGCTGCTATTACTCATATGGCCTTCATAGGCTGGATCTAAATTTACCCCTTCTTGTGATCAATACACAACCAACAGGTGAGTGCTCCTCTTCTGTATGCATGAGGCATGTCATTGTGTGTCTAAGCTTTGAATTTATTATTCATCACATGGCTACTTGTGTTTAGAGTTTTACAGGCTATAAAACAGTGAACTATGCCTTTGCTACCTCTTTCATAAACATCACAGTTTAGTTATAGGTAAAGATTAGGATATGCAAATGTGAAGGAAAAACAAATAACCAGTTAAGGAAAACATTGTAAATTCACCGACAGTTCAGACGCCTGTTCCTGTGGCAGGTTTCTATTTCAAAGCATCCTATGAGAATTCAGCTGTCGTTCCACTCAGCCATGCATTAGTAATAAGTGAGGTGGTAGTGTACAGTTTACTGCCTGTAACTGCATAACAATCATGTTCCTGCCGTGCAAGATAGAACCACCACTCTTTTTCAGTTGCCTGTGTTAGATTTCACATCTCCTGTGTTGTGTCAAACCCACTTGAAACATCTTTTGTCGACATTGCATCACTTAATGAATGATGAAACAGCCAACACACAACAGCAGAGAGCAGCTACTTATTTGGGTTATTGTTTTTAAGTCCAGCCTGTCTCCACAGAGCGGAAAGTGCAACATTAAACTGGCTTTGGTTTACCCTTATTAAAAGTTGACCAGCAGGTACTAAAGGTTATCAGTATACTCAGCCTTGGTCGTCTGTCTTTGTTGCTTCAATTTCTGAGATAGTTTACGAATTAGGTTTGACAGGTTAAATTCACATCCCTTGAGAGAAATATTTGACTTCCTTGTATGATGCAACAGTTTTTGCCATCAGGCTCCTTGTAAAAATGTAATCACAATCAAGTTTTGTCTTTGCGACACAGGTCTATTAACATTATTAACTCCTGGCACAGCAGCTGCACTGATATCACGTTGTTGCCACCTTTGATACTGAACCTTTGGTGTTATTAGAGTGACTGTAAATGCTGTAAAAATAACGTCCAAGGCTTAATTTTCTTATCAAACACTTTCGTAGTTTCAAAGAAACTACTCAGTTTGATAGCTGATCGATTCTTCATTTGCCTGTTGCAGTCAGTCTGTTGCTCGGTGACTTTATGATTCACTTTAGTGTCACGTCTAATCTCTTAAGTGTCCAATGTTCAGGGAGAGGCTGTGCTGATTGAAGTCACGTGATGAGTGATCACAGACAAACAGCTTGTCTACCGCAGGTTTACTACAGCAAATATGTGTGCTCAGGATATTGTAACCACTAGCCTTGAGTTGGTGTTGGTTGTAATGTTTAGTTTGTCAATAGAGACATACTGGCTTTCCATTAACAGCCAGGTTAAAATGGTAGAAAAGTTAGACTGCTGTAAATAGTCATTCCAAATGGTCAAATCCTGCTGCTACAAATGAGGGTTTTTAAAGGTTCATAATCGAGGTTTTGCATGACAGCATAGCTTTAGGTACAGCAATGGAGCTTTAGTGGAAGCTTGCAGGGTGTGACAGCATTCGGAGAGCACCCTGTTGACTGTCTATCATTAGTCTGCATAATTCAGCTGGGCTCCTGCTGTCTGCAGGTGGTGCAGAGGAGCTCAGTGCCTTTAGAAAAGGCATAGATACATGCTGTTGAAATGTGATATATGTTTAAGATTCCATCTTTGTCAGCGTGTTTGGTCTTGCATTTTTTATATGACTGAGGCATGTAAACATAACGTCAATAATATTGATTATTGACCGTAGTACACATATTGTACTCATTTTATATCAAAGATGTGTTTTTTTCCCTTCACTGTAGCCATGGAGAAGCAACTAGAGGAGCTGAAGCAGCAGCTGGAAAAGCAATGTCAAATCAACCAGGAGCTGCAGAGACAAAACAAAGACCTGGGTGAGCACAACCACATGACCATGAAAAATTAACTAAGTAACTTCACATCAGAACATGCCCAACGTCGCAGAGAGGTGTGGCCAGGCTGGGTTGTGACCTTCATCCAGCTGTGAAATAGGGATGAGAAGAGATTAATATGTTTGAAGGGGTAAACGATGGTGGAAGTAACTGGTAAAATCATAACGTGAAGCACCAGTTGCTGTCTGAGAAAGCAGGGTATGTTCAGAGCCTATGCCACAAGTAGATATTTGACCCTCATGAGTATTTTTGATTCTATTTTGCTTCAGAAGTACAAATTCCTGCAGTGTTCGGGTGATGTACTTGACTTCCCCATCTGTTGCTATGGTTTACAACCCAACTAGTAGGTTGAAAAGCAAAACTTGCATTCCAGCAGGAAACAACACCTGAGAACTGATATAAGATGAACTCATAGAAATTATTTATAGCTAAATCATCATCAGGTGGTTGTCAGTCAGTGTACTTCAACTCAACCTCTTGACACTGGATCATATTTCCGTGGCATCTCATTTAGACCCATTCTGTATACTTCTGATGCAGGCATCTGTGAGATTACAAGCTTAGCAGCTCAGTTTCCAAAAAAGAGAAACCTGAAATATTTCAATAGCCCAATCCCTATCCCCCAAAAGTGTCAGTTAACTAAAATATCAAATGTTGAAACTGAAAATTTTCATTGTTATATGAAAAGTATATTCTCATCTGATGCTAGCAATGCATCTGTACAGACTGATACTGGATAACTGTTGATTTTCAGGTCCTAAAACAGCACTGCATTAAAAACAGACATGCCTCTGCAGTAAAGATCACCATATGGGTTCAAGATTACTTTAAAATACCATTATCTTTGAACACAGTTCATGGCTGCATCCACAAAAGTAGGCCAAAACTGAGAGGAAAAAACCTCAGATAAACATGATCCAGAGATGCATCCTGTCAAAGATTGACTGTGGCAAAATGGGAAAACGGTCTCGCAAACTAAAAAATTCAGTTTTTAATCAACATTTTACTTGGCATCCCAACATTTTTTGGAATTGTATAAATGCAAGTCTACAATCACATGGTCCAGACTATACATCTAATGACCTTATCCCACATTGATATGCCAGAAACTGTTCTGTTAAATACATGTTTGCAGTTTCAGTCTCATTGAGTCGTGGGGTTCATAATTAAAACATATATGCTAGGACAAATATACAAAGTATCTGCAAACACAGATACTGTATTTAGGCTATGGAAGACATACTTTACTCATGTTTATTCTGAATTCAAAGCAAAGGTCATGGGCATGGTTTGGTGTATGTTCCTATTTCAAATATATTCATGCTCTCATCTCTACAGAAAAACGGCTACAAGAGAAAGAGAAACTTTTACAGGACCTGCAGAGTCAATATCAGGATCTAGGTGAGCGTTCAACATGGGAAAGAAGGGCAGGGAATCACACACACACACACACACACACACACACACACACACACACACACACACACACACACACACACACACACACACACACACACACACACACACACACACACAAACACACTCATACATATACACGCACATGCACAAAACTGAGGTGACCTTTGATTCAACAGTCTGCTGAAACATGACAGCCATTTACAGTACTTAACTCTCCGTTTCTGCCCTGTTTGTCTCAGACTTTCCTGTCCAGAGCAGTAATGAGATTGATCCAGAGGTCAGAAAGAGCCGTGCGGCTGTCATTGCCTCTGAACCAATCCCTGAGACCCTGGAGATTATACGCACCAGGGTGAAGAAAACTGCCAGGTTTGTTATCAGTGCTACTGTGGAGGGAGTATGATTGTTTGGGCAAGATTGCGCAGCTTTTCACTTGCTTAGTGTGGCAAATCTTACTTCCCCCCCCTGCAAATTTCAGACACTGTGATGCATAGTAGTGCCCTATGATTCAAGTGATTTACATACTTTTACCCCTCATCATCAGTGAGACAACCCTGATTGTCAAAGCCATCCAGAAGAATGACTTCCTGAGCCGCCTGGATGAAGAGCAAACAGCCATGATGGTGGACCTCTTAGTGGTACTGAACTTCAAACCGGGGGAAGATGTCATTACAGAGGGCTCTGAAGGGGACAGCATGTATATAGTAGCAGGTAGGTTTAGTTCCTTTTATTGGCACAAACTGAAGATTTTGTTTAAACTTCCTCCCTTATGAAAGTCTTCGGCGAACAATCGAATAATCATAACTTTTTTTTTTTTTTCCACATCGGAAAAATTTATCGCTTGAATCTGCTTTCTCTTCAATTTTTAGCTGGAGAACTTGGTGTCACACAAGCTGGCCGAGACCTCCGTACTCTAACCACTGGTGATGTGTTTGGAGAGTTAGCTATCCTTTACAACTGCAAACGGACAGCAACTGTCAAAGGTCAGTCTTTGTAATGATAGTCATAATATATCAATAATAATAATAATGGCACAACCACATGATCATATGATAAATAATTTATATTTGGTCAAAACTTTGGAAGTAAGGAAATCATGGGAAGGCCATGGAGAGGAGGTCTTGTTTGGCCCTGAGGAAGCTCTTGTAAACTTTGAGAAGACTTAAAGCCTAACATAGCAGGGCAACCACCATGGAGGGAGTATGGTCGCAGAATACGAAAGGAGCTAACCACAAACCATGACAGTGGGGGGCAAGCTGGAGTCTTTTAACCTCATAGCCTTCAATTTGGTCCTGAGCTTTGGGAAATGATCCACAGAATACAAAGAACCAAATTGATTTTACTCCACTTGGAGTGAAGTCACAGTTTTTTCATTTTGTAAAAAGCCTTTTGAAATGTCTGATGCCTCTGATTGGGATATTTTCTGGGCAACTCTCTTCTCCTGGACAACTGAAAGGGGACTTAAGGTGTGGACCCAGAGCTCCTTAAAGGGAATGTATATCACCCAGGCTTCTCCAAGGAGGAGCTGAAACCAGAAAGATAAACACCCAGGCTAACCTACTTTGTCCTCGCCAACCTCATCTGGAGCCTTAAACTGCAAGAAAGAGAAAAAAATCATGATTGCATGATTATCATTGCCCATTAATCAAAGTTGAGAGTGGCATCTGATACTTCATCCAGGATTTTCTGATGATAATAAAGAATATAAGTGGATCTCTCACATTGCAGCAAAGACAACAGTACGTCTGTGGTGCATGGAGCGACAGACCTACAGGACAATCATAACTAACAAGTCAAAGAAGAAACGGGAGCAGCTCATGGGCTTCCTGAAGACGTGAGTATAAAGAGTGTGCTGATGGCTAGTGGAGGTGTTTTCAGCCTTATCTATGATATTTTTTAATATGTCTTGCTGCATTGACATTTACCTAATGGGCCTTATAACTCTTTCTTGAAATATTTCCTCAAACATTTCCTGTTATTCCAGGTCTCGTACTTTGAAAGACCTGAATGATGTCCAGTTGTCCAAAATAATTGACTCAATGGAGGAGGTATGTCCTATTCAGACCTTTGAGTTTTATAAGTGGACTGTATTCTAGATGGTTGAAAAATGGTTGAAATTAGGGTTTTTATATCCAGACAAGATTTGTACCAGTTTCCAACAAGTTTCCACCACTAACATTTGGCCAACTCACAAAGAACAATGAGTCGTGGTTGTACCTTAACCACAAACATACAGTTTATTAGTATCAATGTGTTATCTGTATGTTCTGCTGTAAAATCCCAAACTTTTCTGAGGTAAATATATCTTTAAAAGATTTTCAACATTTTTTTTTCATACCATTTATGGCTCTTTTCCCTCCAGGTGAAATACCAGGACAAAGATGTTATAGTTCGAGAAGGAGCAGAAGGAAACACTTTCTACATCATACTGAAAGGAGAGGTAATGAGGTGTCATGGTGTGTGCGTAAACTCAGATCTGAATGCTCCAGTGAACTGTACCATTCTGTGTATATATCGTCTCTATATGTCTTCTCGTGTTTGTTTCCCCCCTTTAGGTCTTGGTGACTAAGAACGTCAATGGGCATCAGAAGCAGATCCGAAGGATGGGAAAAGGGGAGCATTTCGGGGAACAGGCCCTTATACGGTAACCATGGCAACACATGCCTGAGGGCATCTGCTAAAGCCTCTTGCAACGTTCACAGCTCTGTGCACTTTCCCCAGCTGCTGTTATCTTTGACATTTGTGAAACCTGCTTTTAATCGTGCTCATGTGATTTGATGATTTAGGATGATTATGAGTGATTCAGCAAATATAGTATCATTTCTAGCTGCAGCTAATAAATTGTATGTCTTTATGACTGTCTGTGCTATGTGGAAAGTATGTCACCTTTGAATATAAAACAGACATTAATCTAATAATTTGAGCGTGCAAGGGTGTTTTTTAATGAAAATCCAGTTTCATTTAGCTGGTGTCCTCTGCCTCGAGTTGGGTAAAGTCTTCTAGATCAATAAATATTTGAAATGACTCACTTACTTACAGAAAATTTATCATCATATGCTGACAAGTGGAGGGAAAAACTAAGGAACAATCAGCTGACACTGATTTCAGAGGCAAATGCAAAATTTTCTCACATTTCTGACAGTAATGTCCTCTTCATTTCTTTGAGGTGCTGTTGTATTTTTATGTATTGAGGTGCAAAATGCTTTTCTCACACCGGCAGACATTTGCCTTGTTTCTTCTCCTGCAGGGAAATCTTGAGAACTGCTACCTGTGCAGCTGACGGCCCTGTTACCTGCTTTACCATCGACAAGGAGTGAGTCTGAATTGACATTAAACTCTGAGTGTAAACAGAGGCCAGATTCTGTTCAGTCAGGCCCTGCAGTGGGGGCAGTTTCTGCTGAAAAGAAAGACCCTTAAAATCCCGATTGTTTTTTTAATGGTTACCTGTGTCATTGTCAAGGGTTTTTCTTCTGCAGAGCTCCAGTAGCTCATTAGCAATTTGCCTCTGAGTCATGGGCGGAGACAACGCTGCCCTGCACTCTTCATGTCAGCTTCCTGTTGTAGAAGTAACATAGGAGATATTCAGCACTTGGACACTAATGTCTTTGGAGACATGGTGAAAGTTAATATCATAATTAGCTTTCTTACGAGCATTGCATTCTGCTGATGTGCACACTCGTTCCACGATTGTCCTCTCTATTTCTCCGAGTCTGGCCTGGAGGTTGGAGCTCCAGGGGCGGAGCTTGTAGTTGTGACGTAAGAAAACTCACTGTGCTGAACCTGCCTTTTATGTCTGCCAGAGATTCACAGCTATTTGAATGCAGAAATATTCAAAAATGCAATTTCGTACTTATTTTTCTCATGATATGTCCTGTAGCATCAGATACCATATGAACATATAGACAACAAGAAAAACACAATTTTCACCAGAGTGGGTCTTTAAAGAAGTTCAGCCATTGTATTTTTCCTCTGTTACTGTAACTATTGCTGCACACAGTTTGACAAACAATGCTTTTTCTTTAGGGTGTTTGAAGAGACGATTCCTGTTGAACACCTGGAGCTGTTTGATGAGTATGTACCCTAAAACTATTCACATTGCGTAACCATCTGTCCCTCCTTCTCAGCCTGACTAGTGTGTCTAATATGTCCTGATGACTATTCCTATGAAATGCTAATTATTCCTGTTTGTTTTCATACTCTAGCTCTAAAGTGTTGCAGGAGGCAAAAGCTTCAGAGAAGTTTAGGTGAGTGGACATCGGAGATGACTGCATCCCACTGAAAATATAACACAATCATAAAATTCACACAGTGGGTTTCTTGAAATTAAAACTTATAATGAAAAGTTTTCCATCTGTTTATGTGTTCCTGTTAGTCCTCTCTCTACCTCTGCTCTGAGGTTTAAGGATTTGGTTCCTGTGCTGTACCAGGAGGGTCGCTTTCAAGGAGATCCTGTCACGCTTGGAGTTGGAGGGTTTGGCCGTGTTGAGTTGGTGAGTGTGTTCGCGCAGTTTCAATATCTGTATTTCTCTAATGTCTTTCCAAAATACCTATTACACTTACTATAAGCAACACTGACCTTACAAGCCTAATTGTAAAACGTATTATATGATCTTCCCAAACAGCAACCCTTAAGTGTTTGGAATTAAAGCCACTGGGGAAGGGTAACACTCTGCAGCTACCGAAGGTTTCACTTCCATCAATGCCTATATTAAAATGTCCATTTTCATTTTAAACATGTTCACAGCCTGGTACAAAACCCCTTTTTGTCTCAATAATAACCTCTGTATTGGCTGGGATTAGAAGAGAATTTATGTCTTTATAATTTAGTAGTCAAGGTTTAAACTTTTGCACAATGAGACATCATTTGGGACTTTGCTGACTTGACTCGCAGGTTGTAGCTGTTTGCCTCCCTCAACTCAACCTCTTAGCCCTTTGCAAGGTTGACTGAAAGTTAGATTGAGTCAGCAATTCCAGTATGGCTGTTGACATGTTGGACTTATAAAGTATGATCTAAAAAAAACAACAGTGGGTGACATCAGTGAGACTACGCCACTGTTTTGTACAGTTAGTAGATTAGTAAATAGATAGATTAGCAATAAGCAAAAATGATTTGAAGCATAATCAGAATCACAGAGCTGAAAAGTGAGCATCATACAATGAGCAGAAAGACGCAAACAATACATAATATATAATGGGTAATATAATGTAGATGCTATTATAAATCACTGAAAGAAAACTCTGATATAAACAGGATATGACAGGATACTGGCAGCTGCTACAAGTCCACCTATACAGAAAAACTTGTGATATGCAAAGAGGCAGTATTCAGAAGTGGTGGTACTGCATACCGGAGAGTACTGGCCTGCCAAAAGCACTGATTGACAATATATTAACAGATTAGGTCAGCGTGACTTACAGTCAGTAAAATGTGACATTTTGACCAAAAAATATAATTCTTGGGCAAATCTTTTTTTCTTCTCTCTCTTTTTTTTTTTTTTCAAATTTCAGTGTGACCCCGTCTGGGTAAAACTGAAACCATATCATAAAAGCACAATGCCCCGTCACATTTCCAACATCATGACCCATCATTTTTGTCACAGTTTACTTTGAATAAAAGTGAATAAAATAATTGAATAACAATCGATGAGGAAAAAAAGACTCATTTTGCTTTTTGAAATTGTAACACTACCTCTGGATACCCTAACCCTCACTTTTGTCTGTTATCCTTCATTACTGCCAATGATTCAACACAGTCCCTGAGTCGAACTGAGGTCCAGTGATGAAACAGAGTATAGCAAGTAACCTTGAACTATGAATAATGTTGTCCAATCTGAGGATCTGTACAGAGGAAGTGAGCAAAAACAATCATAATTGATTATGTTTGAGCATTAGGTTTCTGTTTTTGTTGAGAAACCTCGGGTTTTCTGAGTCATATCAGACATCTTTTTGTATACACAGGAGACTCAGTACTGCTATGGGAATGAATGACTTTCATTTTGCTGTCATTTTTTTTAGATGACCACAGTGAATCATGGGACATATTACGCCATGAAGCGAGTCAGCAAGAAGCACATAGTCGCCAAACGACAGGAAGAGCACATGCTGTTTGAGAAGAAGATCCTCAAAGCAATCCAGTGTGACTTCATCGTCAGGTATGTGTGTCACCACAGACACACAAACACAATCCTTCTCATACAACATTAAAAGAGCTGGACTATAATCGTGTTTTCTCTCTGTGTAGGCTTCATGCAGCCTTTAAGGACACAAGATACATTTACATGGTCATGGAGTTCTGTGGTGGAGGAGAGATCTGGACGAAGCTCAAAGAAGTGTAAGGAAATATGGATAAAAAGTCTTCACGGTCGTCACATATTTAAGGGGAAATAGTTACACAAGGTGGCCCTGAGAATAAATTCATGATTTGTATGAGAGAAAGACAGGAATTTATTGCATTCGTTATGAAATATTCACTTAAGTTGCACTTTGCAATCTCAAGTGACTACCAATCAATCAATCAATCAAATTTTATTTATATAGCGCCAATTCACAACAGTCGTCATCCCAAGACACTTTTCAAAGAACAATAGCAGGTCTAGACGACCATGAAATACTCCGTTTTTGAGAGAACAGGAGGACATTGTTGGAAAGGTATTAAAACCTCTTATATCTGTTATCTACAGAGGGCGTTTTGAGGAGCCTCTTGCTATGTTCGCAGCTGCCTGTGTGGTGGAGGCCTACGCCTACCTCCACAAGAAGAACATCATGTACAGAGACCTAAAGCCTGAGAACCTGATGCTGGATGTAAAGGGCTACATCAAACTGGTGAGATCCCGTCTGTGCACGTGTGTCAATCTCTGAACGATTTCAGGACAGGAGCATGAGGCCCTGTGCTGTCTCTAAAGTGTACAAGTAGAGGGAGTATGCATCCATTGACCCTCACTTTGTTTATGTCTGTGCGTGTGCAGGTGGACTTTGGTTTTGCCAAGGAGCTTGTGCGTGGAGAAAAGACCTACTCATTTGTTGGCACTCCTGAATACATGGCCCCAGAGATCATCAAGAACCAGGGACATGACTTTGCAGTGGACTTTTGGTCTCTTGGCATTCTGATCTATGAGCTCTTAGCGGGAAGGTAATAAAAGTTAAACTATTTGTGATGTTTTTAAATGAATAAATAAAGATTTCCATCGTAATCACCAAGTAAAATGAATCCCACATGAGTTTTAAACTGTGGCATCATAGATTTATAAATCCTTGTAATAACCAGCAGATGGCAGCAGGGAAATACGACTGACACCTGAAGGATCCAGTGACGGTTACCAAACAGAGAGTGACTGTATCACTGCCTCAATATTTACCCCCCAAAATAACACTTCTCTTTCTCTTTCTAAACCTGCCAGCCCTCCTTTTTCAAGCTCAGAGCCTCAGAAGATTTACGCCAAGATTTTGGACGGAGTGATCAAGTATCCACCTTTCTTGAGTGAGGCTGCTAAGTCTATTATCAACAAACTAGCCAGGTGAGGAAAAAACAAATAACAGCCATAATACAATCAAAGTAGTTTCTTCTTTTCTGGAGCAGAATAACTCACAACAGAGTTGTTACAAAGCCTGACTCATGAATAGAATTAAATTATATAAAAAGAAATCGAAGTTTCTGTAGAGTTACTACCTCTCCAGAGAAAAATGACTGTATGTAAACAGATGCACTTTACACACATTTAGTTGAAGAGCCGTTTGATGCAAATGTCATGTCCAGCAAATTCTCATTAAATAGACATAGATGTTATTCTGACCTGTTTGGTTAACATCCTCTTTTTTTGTTTGCAGACCACGGCCAGGTCAAAGGTTAGGAAACACCAAGAATGGAATCAAAGATGTTCGACACCACAGGTTGCTATGACGATATGTTTTACACAATGGTTAAACAATACTTTATGTATCATAGGAATTAATCACCATCGACCTTGCCGCTTCATAATCCTGAAAACATGTATCGTGTTTCTCTCTGTGTGTCTAATCTTTACTCATTTTCCACTTCCAGATGGTTCAGTAACATGAACTGGCACAAACTTCGTATGGGTCAGCTCGATGCTCCCACTGTCAGACTTACACGCAAGGCAAGTGGAGGCACTAAAAACTGCATTTGATTAATGCTGTGCGAAAATTTGCAAACTTCCTGCAGAACTATGAATGGAGGAGTTGGGTGAGGTAGAGCGGTTGAGCTGTAGCCCAAACTGGCTTCTCACTTGGACTCTCTCTCTGACTCTGTCTTCTTTCGGTCACTTCTCTACAGACTTCTCACTCTTTCCCCCTCCCTTTTCACATGTAGGTATGATATGAGGTGAGAGCTAACTGTTAAGCCTCCCAGAGGTGTCGTGGGTATAATGTGATAAAACACTAGTGGTGAAGCGAGGTGCCCACTTGATAATTATGTTCATGTAAGGACTCATGCTACCCCCATATTTCTTCATGTTTGAATTGTAGGGGCCATGCAGTTAGTGATGTTATTCATCAACAGAGCTTTTATATTAGGATAAAGGCTTCTTTACCGAGCAACTATCATTCTTATTAAATCTGTATCTGTACCATAGACTGTGTATAGAATAGACGCTGTCCACCTCCTCACTTGGTTTGCCACCACGAGAACAGCACCCCCTGGTGACGGGCTGCAGTATAGGTCATAAATCCTGCCTCCTTCAGCTATCCCTATGGAGCTGTGGACAAACTTTAGAAATTTATTACACAGCATACAAATTTTCTTACCCCCTGCTTGCTATATTGACATGTAGTTACTGCAAGACTGGTTTGTTCTCAAGTCTTCTTTTTTTTTTCTAAAAGCTATTAGGAGGTTCATGTTTTCTACGATTGACACTTGATACAGCCCATGGGTGTACGAAGCTGTTTGAGCCGAGTGTCATCACAGCGACTCTCTCACCGAATGTGTACAATGCTACTGCACAAGTGGTGGAGTGTGTACAACGCTACTGCGGAATGTTTGTTTCAGGGAGTGGAGAAAAAAAAAAACAGGAAATACTGAGAGCTTTTCGGCTTCAAATCTGTATACTGGCAAAAGGCGAAACCAAGTTGTCCATAGTTTATACAGTCTATGATCTGTATCTTGTGTATATTTTGAATAATCATCGTGAACTGTTGCCTTTTCTCCCCTCAGGGCCCCTGCTACATCAACTTTGATCGTTTCGCTGCAGATCAGACTAAAGCGGACGAGGAGTTCTCTGGATGGGACCGCGACTTCTGATGTTTGTGATCTAAAAAGGATCAAAACTCCACAAGAGTCCCTCTCATCAGCTAACAATGAAGCCAAATGGAGAAACCTCAATTTAAGCCAAAACACCATATAGGCCACAGGATGGTAGCAGAAGGTCACTTATGTATAAAACAGTCCTAACTTATGTCATACTAACTTGATTATGAATGAAGTGGAACTGCTGGTATCACTATACTCAAATCACTATACTCACTTTACCTAAATTATTTTTTGGAAGGCCTTACTGGTGCTGCGCAGAGATCATTATCCGTGGCAGAGGGCTGAAAGTATCAGAAGGTGTTATGACAAGATGTTCAACATTCTGTCTGTGAATTCAACGCAGGGAGGTTCGGCACCCGATGAGTAAGTGCCAGTAACAGTATACAGATGACACTTGTCAGTGATTTGAATTAACACTGATCCGAGTGCCCAGTAGCTGAAAAAAAAGCTGTGAGCCATTTTAATCTGTGCTGAAGGCCTGCCTCTCAAAAATCTTTTATGATAAATGATTTCTAGTGTTGTATCTGTCCTGCATTTGAATGTTTATGAAAGATCTATGTCTGTTATAGGGATAAAGCGTGCTGACCTGCTAAAAGCAAAGCTTTAAAGGCATTTAAATATTATCAAAGTTGTTGTTTTTTTTTTTTTCTGAGACTTTCTCAGTTTTTTCTCAATAAATGGATAATCTGCCTTTGAGCACAGATGATTTCTACACACCTTGATTGCTCTGTAAAAAGTAATCACCCATCCTAATGAATTTTAATTTCACATAATTGAAGTTTAGTAAATAAAATTGCTCTTTAAAACTTACACAGCTCTGCTCTTTTCCTTCCATTCCTAAATATATCCAAAGTGTGAATTGATGTTTTTACATGAATAAGATCTTCAGCAAGCAGTGATTGTATTTAGTGATGAGAGAGGAGACAGCAAACAACTACAAAAGGTAAGTAACTTGCATGTAAGCTGTTGTCATAAAGGACTGGGGGCTAAGTTTACTGCACAATGACTGCAGTTGATTGGCTCTCAGAGGGCACAGCTTCTGCCGTGGCAGCTGGTTTTAAATGACGGAGGAAGGATTTTCTTTCTGCTCCTTCCTGTAAATGCCTGTGACATGCATACGAAGGCTTTTTTTCCACATCAGAAAAAAAAAAAAACCTGACATGAAAGCCATCACATCTTCCATACGGGGGAAGATCGACTGCCAGATGTTTCCCTGCTGCAGAAAACACCTTGAAGTTCAGAGTTTGATGCACTAACAGCTTTGACAGCAGTGGCCCAGAGGATGTACAGTGCAGCACAAAGTGGTCTCACCACAGCACTGAACTGTAGTTTCCTGCTCCCCTGCATGACGTGAGGGATCAACATTTCTGTGCAGACAAACGGTTTACCTGCAGTACATGTGACACGAAACAAAAGGATCACAGAAGTCTATAGTTTTACTGCTAGCAACAAATCCCAAACAAATACAGATTTCTCCCTCTTGGTTTCTATCTTTGCTAAATTCAAACAAAAAAGAGAAATCGTCATGAATTATGTTGGATGGCTGAAACGAAACAATCTCATACCTGTAAAACATAAAGAACATTTTTTAAATGGTGTTAGGATGATTTTTTTGTCAAATCATATAATTTCATGTACTTCTCCAGTTTGTTATGTCATATAAAATCAATCATTTTATAACAAGGCCACTTTATGATTAAAATTCTTTTATATACATGTTAGTCACCTTGATTCATTTCCTTTCTTTCTCACCAATAAATATCATGAGCAGATGTTAGGGCTCTGGAGAAACACATTGCCCTGAGGATTTCCTCCTACTGAAGCTTTAGATTGACTGTCAACCTTGGCATCAACCTAAACAAGGTCATAACAGATTGTGTTTTCAGTTCAGGTACAAACAATGCAACTTGCTCAACAGTCAAATTTTAAATTATTTATGAGAAAAATGAATTATTAAAAGGTTGAATCATCACCTCTGCATCTATGGATCTAGTCCAAGGAGCCTCAGGACATGTTTCTAAGATTTAGAGTTTCTAGAAATGTAATCTATTATAAAGTTTGTAAACACGGTCCAAGTAAAAAAATTCTGAAAAAACTTGGGAGTCTGATGTCAAGATATCTAGATGACCTACAAGGCCTACAAGGATTAAAATCTATCTCTAAAGACCAGTGGCGGCTGCTGGTCTTTCAAGGAGGGGAAGCTCATTTTTCTGGCCTACATCATAATTGTATTTGTTTATTATTATGTAACAGAACAGAGTCGCCAAACACAACGGCAGTCGTTTTTAATAAAGACAAAAGTCGCTGAGGATCGGTAAAGTCTCCGGAGCAGTTAAGAACAACGGAATGAATAACTTGGAAAATGCTCTGGTAGATGTTTTACTCTTCAAGATCGCTGATTCGCTTGTTTAGCTGTCAATCAAAAAAGGATTTCGCCTCAGACAGCTCATCCAATCATGGATGCAGAAGCTTGGAGTCCGGGAGAAAGTCGGGACCGCCCTCTCGCCATAGAACTCCAGTGAAGCTGGGCTTCCGATGGGCGGGACAAAGCCCAGCATTTATCCAATGAGCGTCTAGTTTCGCTGCTGGAACAACCCACTTTTAGCTTCCACATTGAAGTCAGCAGAAGCCCAGCGTCCGGCTGTTTAAAGCGCTGAGGCGCTGCGAGGATGAATGAGAACGAAGTTATGCCGGTTACCTGTAATTATCAGCTTCTTATCACAGTGTCTGAACAAAAGATGAAGGCTTTCTAGTGCGTATTTAGTTAATGAAATGTACACACAGCAGTACGTATTTCACCACTTTTTCTTTTGTTTGACATTTTAAGGGAAGCCGAGCTTCCCTTGCAGTCTTAGAGCAATCGCCACTGCTAAAGACCCACTCTGATGAAAATCACGTTTTTCTTGTTTTTAAATGTTCATATGGCATTTTTCTGATGCTACAGGACAAAGCTAATTATTGTTATGGACGTATCTCAAACTAAGTGTGAAATTGCATTTCTGAGTATTTCTGCATTCAAATCACTATGAATCTCTGGCAGACCCAAACGGCAGGTTTAGATACAGTGAAATTTACTACATCACAACTCCAAGCTCCGCCCCCGAAACCCCGCTCTGCAAGCCAGACTCGGACAAATAGAGGGGACACGGAACAAGCGTGTGCGTAAGCCGAGTGCAATGCTTGTAAGAAAGCTAATTATGAATTAACTTCGTGTCCCCAAAGACATTAGTGTCCAAGAGCTGAATCACTTCTATGTAATCTGCTTCTTCTACTACACTGGCAATGTTAGGCTACAAGCTAGCTTGAAAAGGAGTGTGCAGAGTAGTGCTGTCTCTGCCCAAGACCACTTCAAGTTGTAAAAAAAAAAAAAAAATGGAGTGGGACTTTCAAAGCCAATATTGGAAAGCCGATAAAGAGCATTTAATTATTTTTCTGAAACCTACAGGATGAAGGAGCTCCCAGGACTCCCAGAAAAGACTGTGGTTAGTGACAATTTAATGACACACAGACAGATCGCAGATGGAGAGGAAGAGAAAGGTGCTCAATGTGCTCATACCCCCAGCAGTCTAAATCTCTTGCAGCACTACCAAACCTGAACCAGCTTCAACTAAAAGCTTCATCAAAAGGGAAGGTTTTGAGCCAACTCTGAAAAGTAGAGTGCGTGTCTACCTCCAGGGAACTACAAGGTCTTTTAGATATGATGGTGCATAACTGTGAAAGGCTTTGTAGGTGAGAAGAAAGATTTTAAAATCTGTTCTAGATGTGTTATTTAACAATCTCTGACATCATTATTCAAGTTTTCATACAAAATCTACAAAGGAAAGCTCATGGGTAACAAACCCCAAAAGTAATATAAAAGGACATTATAATGTAACAAAAGAACGAGTATTTTTACAAGACTGGATTCAAATGAAATCTCTCACCACTCTCTCCAGCTTGCCTCACTCCTCCTGTAAATACCTCCAGGTCTTTTTCTCTCTCTTTGTTCCTGCTGAGCTCACTCTGAAAGGACTGACAGTGTGAGGTTTAGTTCAGACACTGGGGATGTTGGATCATTTGTGTCTCAGACAGAGGATCATTGTCTTGTCTTGTCACTTTTGTCACTAAATGTTGTTTCTGGTTCTTTTCATTTTTTTATTGAGCCATCTAGAGTTAATCAGACTTTGTGTTAAAACCTGCGCTGATTTGATAAGGTTGATTGTCACACTATTATTCAGCCCATTTCTGCTGTTTGCTCCCTGCTTTTAAAATTTTGACTGCTTCAGTAGGTGTTTCTGTGTAAGGTAGTTCTGATGAATAATTTATTAGCCTGCTTATCTTGGGTGATTTTATTGCACACAATTTCTCTCTTTTGCATCATTTTGTGAGACTATTCTCAGCAATTGTATATGGTCACCTTCTTTCTCTTTGTGTTTGCCTTAATAATACGTCTCACACCAAATCCGGCTCATGTTTCCCGCCCTGCAAAGCTCTGCATCAAAGTGCCTCTTGTTTCCTGCATGTGGATTGGCATTTTATAACATCAGAGTGCAGAAGAGTGGATGTACTACACATGCTGCTCACGTGTGTTTAATAATAAGCACATTGTTCCAGCCATGCAATAAGACTTTGTAATGTATGAATGTTCAATTATATGGTACAAGTACAGTACATTTCAGTTATAGGTCCATAGAAATGTGTATGTTTTTCAAGCCACTCCAATCATCACTTCCATCTTTATCATATGAATAATAATATTGAGTCTGAAATTGCATTGTGATTGTGCTGTGTTGAATGACACACTAACAACCCAAAATAAGGGGGTTTACAAATAAATAGCTCTGACACTCTCTAATCTCTTTTGCATTTGGTGTTAGTGCTAAGCCATGCTAACCTCCTTCCTCCTTCAAATATCGTTACCATACAGGTGTAAGAGGGCTCTTTTCTATTTGATCTTATCTGGTGTAGTTCGTGTTCGAGACATTTCTATGGAGCCCAGGAGGGAAAATTAA